TCAGGTTTACGTACAAGAACGGTACACACAAACATAAAGTGCTCCTGCAGTGCGTTTGATAGGTACTTTCAATAACCCTTGGACCATTTTTTTTGTTTTCCATAATTTGTCTCTTTACAAGATGGTAATCTACTAAGAAAATACTAAGAAGGAGGGTGATTTCAGAAAAAAATGTTGCAACTGTTAATTGAGTGGCAAAAAATTGGACTTAAATCCCTTGGCCTTTAATACTGAAAACAAATATTTGCAACTTTATTGAAACAATCGTAGTCCAACAGAATAATCATCCCAGAATACCACAAGATCCCACTTACTTGTTTATTTGTTGTTTTGTACTTATATTCCAAATGAACTTCTTGACCGTCATCGCTACACACAAATTACTTGATCTGTTCCGTATGCTATTCAGCAATTTTGAATTTCCAAAATCGCTACCCATAATCAAGCTTCAAACTGGATTTATCGATCTTAACAAAGATATGACTGTCTACGCAACTTGTCCTAAATGCTACTCTGTTTATCTTTATGCTACAAGCAACGGGTTAACACAGCCTGGGCCTCCACAAATATGTACATTTATCAATATCCTCAAAAAAAAAAAAAACCTTGTCAAACCCCATTATTTCAAAACGGTTCCGATACTCCAATCAAAAAATTTGTATACCATTGTCTTATAAGTTCGATCCAAAAGTTGTTTCTGAGAGAAGGATTCGAGGAGAAGTGTGAAGAATGGCGTAGTTTTGAAGAAGCTGTAAACCCAACTGATATGATGTACCATTGCTCCCAGGGACAAATGTGGCGAAACATTCTTTCTCCGAGTGGTGACCCTTTTGTAAACAGCAGTATATCTCTATGTTTGATATTGAATGCAGGTTAGAATACAAAAAAAAAGACGAGATATACTTACAACCCAGTTAAACATAGATGGATTCCAAACATATGATACTACTTCCGCTTCTTGCGTCGCTTTTTATTTGCAAGTAAATAATTTACCAGCCGAGGAACGCATAAAGAAAGAAAACACGATACTGCTTGCATTAATCGAAGGACCTCATGAACCCAACACTTGTCAAACACAACGACTATTATCCATTGTTACAAACCAACTTCGCTCCTTGTATTTTAGTGCTCAAATGTCTAGATTCAATTCTGGAAAACATGGCCAAGATTACGATGCTACTGTCAGAGCCTGTTTGTATCAAATCTTGTGCGATTTACCCATGCAACGAAAATTGAGCGGATTTACTGGATTTTCTTCTACACGATGATGTCTCCGATGTGATAGGTCGTTTAAAGTTTTTCCTGACATATCTAATTTGGACTATTCTGGCCTTGATGCTGTGCATCATCCTGCAAAACGCCAATAAGAAGCTGAATGATATTCAATCAGACAAGTGGTTAAATAGCCATAATAATGCGGAAAGACATCGCCAAGACAGGGCCCACGGTATTAGATATAGCTTTTTAAGGAATTTAAGATACCTTGATCTTGTAAAAGCTACCACACAGGATCATTTACATTGCATTTGGATTTCTGAAACCACAACACTATCATAGGTATTATAAATTTATGACACTATATATACGCAAATGTCATTACTAACCTTGTGTAAAGATGTTCCAGTATGGCCGCACTCGCTTCAAGTATCATCACGCCCAACGACTACAGCTCTACACATGCCAAAATAAAAGGAGCTTTTTCTTATATGAAGGGCATCGAATTTAAAATCTGGACTTTGCACTATTCGGAATATGTCTTAAAGTACATGATTGTTTCTGATAGGTTAGTCGATGATTTTCACAAAAAGCATTATGCAGACTGGTTACAATTTGTGCAAGCTTGTAGAATTTTTGTACAACCCGCGATTACTACGGCCCAGGAATTTGAAGCACGAGAACTCTTCCGCTGTTTTTGCAAAGACTATGTGGTACTTTTCGGCCGCGAGGCAATCAAACCTAACTATCATTACGTCCTCCACCTGTCAGAAAATATTGAATACTATGGCAGTACATTCAACACTTCTTTTTTCTCTCTTGAAAAAATGAATGATGTCCTGAAGCAGTCGACAGAGAATAGAAACCTTCGATCAATTCAAACTTCGTACATGCCAAATTTTTTGGAAAGCATTCATATCTCGTCTCTCATTAAACAATTAACAAGCTCCAATATCATTTCTAAAGATCAACCCCACATTCTCCACAACACCAGCGCCATCAGTCAATCCTTATACACAAGCTCCAGTCCTCAAGATCGCATTATTTTTTACAAATTGTCTTCCTATGAATATCCAATTCGGGAGGTGTGGTGACCGGATCGAAAATGCTATACTCTCATCCGAACATTATCCCTACTAGCTCTGATGAAATTAAATCCACTCCGCTCGATCCATCACACCATATGCTTCTTATTAAATACTACACTGTATGCTATCCAAATCGTCCATTCACCAATCTCTTTCATTTAACCACGACTAATCTATGCAACAACTATAGTAATTCACTTTCCAATAACATTCCTTCGATTTATGTTGGTGCCGACGCCAGAATATCCAAACAATTTCAATCTAATATTATGTACAAAAGCCGTATGTCAAGATCGATGAAAGGTGCGTATACTCAAACATTCTTTAAATACAGTCATTCGTCGGAATCCGTTGCCTGCTTTTACGGCGAGATACAATATTTCTTTCAACACGTCGTAATTGTTAACGGCAGTGTTACCCCACACACATTCGCTTTCGTATGGTGGTTTATCCCTGTCAACCCTGGTAACAATATTTTAGAAAACGAAACTATAAAAATAGGCAAAGGCTATGAAAATACAAATGTACATTCGATTTTACCTGTACATAGAATACGCAACGCAATCACGGTTGCATGTAGTTTTGACAATTTTAGTAATCCACGAATTCAAAACGGCTGCATTGTAATGATTCCTCAAGAAAAAAAATATATGTTTAAGCTAATTCACCTATGCCATTTTTTAATTTTAATAAACCACTATGAATATGTAAAAAATTGTTGTTGGAAAAGGGGGAGTAGATTAAAAAAGAAGAAGAAAATTGTTTATTTACAATTCAGGAACTCGTGCTCAGTCGGGTGCCTGAGATAGAAATTCGGGCTTAATCACCACATGCTTGAAACGTCCCGCATCCTTTGTCTCCTTTTCTTTTGGGCGTTTTTTCTCAAAATGAGATCATACTCATCGAAATGCTTAATGGACTCACGACAATGGAATCGTGACTTGGCAGCTGAATTAAATCTCCGTCATATCTTGAACAGTTTAAGAAACACTGGAAAACGCCCTGCTGTTTTTTGCAGAAAATTGTCATCATCAGCAAGCAATTAGAAAATTACGCCAAAGTTATCGCTTTGGTTATTTCATGCAGGTAAATGCTTGATCTTATAATTTATGATTCATCCGAAGAAGAAAAGCTCAGAAATCTAATTTTTTTTTTTTTTTTTTATTGGTCTGAATCAATTTACATTTGTCTAAAATTAATTTTTGTCTGTCTAAATTTATAGCAGTGGATGTCCCACGCTTATTTAAATGTATTAATTCTTTTTTTTTTTTTTGCAGTTTATTAAAGAAACACTGCACTTATTAGATATAAAAAGTAATTATGTGACGTTTAGCGATTGTTGATTCACCAAGCTAGTATAAACACCATTCAGTTTCAATAGCTCCCAATGACTGCCTTGTTCAATTACACGACCGTCTTTTATAACGCAAATTAGATCAGCACTGGTAATAGTTGACAATCGATGAGCAATGGTAATCGTTGTTCTGCCTCCCTGTTCGAGAATCTTGTCTAAAGCCAATTGCACCAGTTTTTCACTTTCACTATCAAGGGCAGACGTTGCTTCATCCAACAACAAAATCTTGGGTTGACGAATCAAAGCTCGGGCAATAGCAATACGTTGTTTTTGTCCTCCTGATAATTGAGACCCTTTATCACCAACACGTGTTGCATACCCCTCCGGTAGACTGGTTATGAATTTATGGATATTCGCTGCTTTACAAGCTTCTTCCACTTGGTCTTGGTTCACACTTTCGGCATCGTCTACACCAAATCGAATATTATCACCAATGGTTAAATCGAACAAAACAGGTTCTTGTCCTACAAGAGCCATGTGACTACGTAAATTCTTCAAGGAGAATGACTTGACATTATGGTTATCTACACGCACAGTACCGCTTAAAGGATCATACCAACGTTGCAGCATACCAATTGTTGTGGATTTACCACAACCAGATGGACCTACCAGAGCAATAGTTTGTCCTTTTTTACCCTTAAGATTAAACTCGCCACTAAAGATAGGAACATCGGGTCTGGCAGGATATCTAAAGCTAACGTTACTGAAATCAATGGCGCCATCAATATCAGAATGAGCTGGTTCAATTCCCTCGAGATCAGGGTCAATCTTGGGCTCACGACCCAAAGCTTGAAAGACTGCCACTGCGGATATTTTAGCCTTAACAAATGTGGTGATAAAGACACTACTTCTTCCAACACTATCGGCCATGATCATAATGGACATCATGGTAATGACCATTTCATTTAATGTGATTTTATCTTGCATAATTAAGCGGACACCGGCATAGAATCCGACAGCATTTGTGTATAAGGAAGTGGCTTGTAAAAGAGCAAAACCAATGGAAGAAGTATAGGCTCTTCTTTTGGCTAAACGATGCATTCCTTCAGTAGCATGATAATACTTGTCTTCAAAATAAACTTGCTTATTCAATGCACTGACGGTACGGATCTGTTTAATCGCTTCATTAGCCACTTCAGCTGTTTCATTACCATTGTCTTTTGTATTATTTTCAAACTCTTGTTGAACCTTAGAATTCCAACCGGATGCACCAATAATTAGTGGTGCCATACATAAAATAATCAATGTCAATCTCCAACTATGCATAAAAGCAATAGCCAAACCTATCAGGAAAAGTTAATATTATATTTATATGCATATGGTGTGTATAATGAATATATTACCAATACTTGATGTAACAATAATCTGCACAACATCACCCCAAACTTTTGTCACTAATTCATTCACACATTTAGCGTCGACAGCAAGTTTCGAAGTTAGAGAACCAACATTGTTTTCATCTTGATCAAAAAATCCGATTTCCTGCTTCATATAGGCCTTGAACAATTTACTGCGTAAAAATCTTGTATATTTTGCACCTGCCACTTCAAAAGAAATAACTTGCAAGGAAAACCCGAGGAATGCAAACAGTCCTAAAACAACAAACAAGAAGGAATACAAGTTTGGGCCTTCTAGGGGACCATAATAACGATCGTTATTTTCATTCAGTAAAGTAATGACTTTTGCAAAGAACAGAGCATACAGTGGAAAAACAGCACCAGCAATGCAAGCACCTAGACAGCCCAAGGCCATCCAACCCCATTGTGGACGCATCTGTTTAAACACCTTAAAGACGGGAGCCTTCATTTTTTTAGCTGCCTTTTTTTCGAGAGCCTCTCTTCTCTTTTTCGCTTCAAACCCATCAATAACAGACATGCGGCCACTTTTTCGGACTACGTTAGCAATAGTAGAATGATCAGAAGCTCTGGCCATTTCAATACAACTTTTTCGATTGACTTCAATTGCTTCTTTGCGTAATAAAACTTCGTCATCTTCTTCTGTTATGATGGCTGTCTTGTCTACGGTATCAATTTGTTGTTTTTTCACGAGTTCAGAATAAATCCCACCTTTGGCAATAAGCTCGTTATGTGTGCCTTGTTCCACAAGATCACCATGCTCCATCACAACAATAAGATCAGCATTTCGAACAGTAGAAAGACGATGTGCAATGATAACGGTAGTACGATTTGCAGAAGCTTCATCTAAGGCCTTTTGAACAAGACGTTCGGATTGGGTATCCAAGGCAGAAGTAGCCTAAACAACAAAATTTATCTAATTAGAACGGATCATGTGAGTGTATGTTATCATAATGTTACCTCATCCAACAATAAAATGGCAGGATTTTTTAAAATAGCTCTGGCAATAGCAATACGCTGCTTTTGACCACCTGATAGCATACCACCGTGTTCACCCACTAGCGTATCATAGCCGTTGGGAAGTTGCTTGATAAAACTATGACAATTCGCTTTTTTACAAGCCGCAACAATTTCTTCTTGACTGATATTGGAATTGGAGCTACCCATCATTAAATTTTGCTTGATACTGGTATTAAACAGGACAGGTTCTTGAGAAACCACACCGATTTTTTCACGAAGCCATTTGACATTTAAATCTTTAAGGTTTCTGCCATCCAATGTGATTGTACCAGAGAGTGGGTCATAAAAACGTTGCAATAACGAAACGCTGGTAGATTTACCAGAACCCGAGGGACCTACAAAGGCTACAGTCATACCTGGCTTGATCTTTAAATTCAAATTTTTTAAAACAACAGTATCAGGACGAGTTGGATATCTAAATTTGACATTTAAAAATTCGATATCACCCAACACTTGAGCAGGTTTTTCTCCAAGAGGACTTGTGGAATCAATATCAGGGATACGGTTGATGGTAGAAAAGATTTTAAAAGCAGCAGCGGAGGCACCGGAGACAGCGGCTAGATTGGTAGGCATCTGTAACAAGGAGAATTCGCCAATCATCATGGATAAAAAGACCACCAAGACAGTAGAACCATCCATCTTGTGTTGGTGAACAAGACCAGATCCATACCAAAAAGAAAGACCATACATGCCAAATAACATGAACATAAAAGTACCGAGACCACAACCGAGAATTATGCCACGTTTCATACCGGATTTCATAGCCTTATCCAACTTGTCATCATATCTTGTAGAAAATCTGTTTTGAAGAGAAAAGGAATAAACTGTACGAATACCCGCAAAGACTTGTTCGGATACTGAACCAGCATCGGCATAAGCGTTTTGTGCTTCCATGGTGTACTTTGTGACAAGAATACCCATGACACCGCCTGTAAGAGCAATAGCAGGTGTTACAGCTGTCATGACAATAGCTAAACGCCACCCTTTGCTAAAAGCAACTGAACAACCTGCAACAAACTGGGAAAAACACATGAGAAATTGACCAAACTTTTCAGATATTCCATCTTGAATCAAGGTGATATCCGAGGCCAATCTTGTGGTCAATGAACCTTCTTCAGATTTATCAAACCAACTCATGTCTTGTCTTAAAATAGCATGAACATAAAGCTGTCGAATGCGCCTTGTTTGATACTCTCCTGTCAGAATCCAAAGACAGTTGGAGATATAAGCAGCTGCCATGACTCCGGTTCCCATATAAATGTAAAGCAAGATGATGGGTAAAGTCTTTTCCATTAAATCTTGATGAAGTACGACTGCTTCTCCCATACTTTTTAAAACGTTACCAAAGAATAAGATTGATATAGGTTGAATAGCGCCTGTTGTACATGATGTTAGTCCAGCAATCAGAATCAGGATCAAATCACGTCGTGTAGCGAATTGAAACAATTTCAAGATGGGTACACTTTCATTTTTTGTAGGTTTTTCCTTTTCGGGTGTATTACTGCTAGTATTGTTGCCCTTCTCGTTGATTAACAAAGCATCATCAATTTCTCGTTGTGCTAGCGTGCGGTGATCTTCTGTACCGCTCATCGTAACGAGAAGAAGAAAATAAGTTTACCGCGTTAAAAAAAAGAAAGGTATAAGTTAATTTTATTTACTTATTTTTTAATTCATCTTTTTATATACATATAGTCTTGATGACTTCATGGTCGGCTTTTACCTCTTTGCTGCCGATCCATGCGATATTTTAGTAGATAACAAACAATTTATTTATTTCTAGCCGAGTAGTTTTCGGCACCGAGATTTCAACAGGAGTTTTTTTTATTTCATTTAAAAAAAAATTAAAATATAGTTTTATGTAGATTAATCATCTTGTTACTTCACCGATAAAGGTACTTTGCGGGTTCTTCAGAAGGTTTCTGAACACAGCGAGGGGTTCGGGTGAAGCTATTCACTGCTCATTTACATTATTGATCTTTTAATCTCTCTCCACCATTTTTGACAGTTTATCATTGATTTGTGCATCCGTTTGAATCTTTGTGCTACCTTTTTTTTTCATTACGCATGCCAGTAGCACAAAATAAGACTTCACTTTTTATGTTGAATTGTGGCATTACTGCTTCGGAACGTCAAAGCTCAGGAACTTTTTTTTTTTAAAAAAAAAAAAATCTTCTTTTTCTCCTGATACGAGTGAACAAAATAATAAGGACAGAATGACTAAACCTAAAAGTTCTTATGTCGTATCCTACAATGACGTTACCAACTTAAATTTTGATAAATATTTTCCAGAGATCGTTGCAAAGATCAACAAAGCTTCGCATTTGGCGGTTGATTTAGAATTTACTGCATTGGGAAATACGAAAACGATGGACATGAATCATCGTTATGCCGGCATGAAGCAAACAGTGGAATCAGCTACCATTGCATCCGTTGGATTGTCCATTTTTCACGCTTCCGTGCCAGATTCAACAGATGGATCTGTTTTTTCACCTAACAACGATAGCGATGGTTGTTTACCTCCTTCAACAACAAAAGAAGAAATAAAACCTATAAAATATACGTGTGATAATTACAATTTATTGACACTGAAACAAGGTGATATCTTGATCAGCACCTCGGTTGGCCAATTTTTGTGTCAGCATGAATACAGTTTTGACGCCATGTTTACAAAGGGTATCCCATTTACTCCACCCGGTGATATGAAGCACGGGAATTCTGACAAACGACTTCATAATTTATGGACCAAAATTATGACTGCGATGGACTTACATAATATACCTTTAATCTTGCATAACGGTTTATTTGACTTGGTTTACCTCTATCATTGTTTTATCGGTGCTCTACCTGATACACTGGGTAGGTTTCTTGTGCAGATCACTGCAAATTTTCCGTCTGGGTTATATGATACGCGCTTTATGGCAGGTAAAGCAGATTTTGATGCCACCTTTTTAGCCTACGTATTCTCCAAGTCAGACAGATTACGTCAAAATCGATTCGGTGGAAATGTGGATGGAGAACCTTATTTTGTGGTGGATGTAAATTCGCCGTTTATTGAAAAGCAATTGATAGGTGAGAAGAGAAAAAGATCAGTCGAGGAAGAGGGCGCTAAACTGGATACGCAGATCAAATACTGTATTAGCTATGCGGTATGAAAAGAAATATAAATTGTGTCCCAACACACAGAAGAACTAAGGATACATATAATAGGAAAGAGGATATTGCAGCAATATCACACACAAAGGAAAGACTGCAGCTCACGATGTACAAATAATTTTGGATTCTAAAATGGGGCCATCTGAATATCCACAAGTATACACGTCTCAAAGAAAAGATGAAGATGGTGCCCATGCTGCCCATTTTGACGCCTATATGACTGGCTTTAGTTTTTGTTACTTTCAAAACACATTTAACCCCATCATCATGAAATCCTGCTTAAACAGGATGACGCTTAGTGGATTTGATGTTCCCTTGGTGTTTCCAGTGAAAAAATCGAAGCGATAACCCTTTATATATAAACTTGTGTGTATTTTAATCAATTTTTCAAGTGTGTGTGTGTGTGTGTATCGCTTTAAATGGGGCCTGAACCGCCAGGGATCAACTATAAAATAACAAAAAGGTGAATTTGAGAATCGTGTTTGATAAAATGAATAGCTTACAGCACAGATATTATTTCCGTTCAATAAGATCTGTTCCAATTTTTGGGTCTTGTAACCGTCCTTTGTGTTTTCGCTATATTGAAATAAACATGTCAACCCCGAGATTAGATTGATACACACATAAAAACTTACAATTCAGTCACGTCTTCTAAAACCATGTCTAGAAGAGGGTAAAAAAGTTAGAAAAGAAGGTACGCGTTTGTAATGAGATGTTACTTACTAACGTAATCATCAAAACCTAATAATTTGCCTGTGAATTCCTTTTCGTTCTTCATGACAACCCAAATCTTGGATCCAATACACTTGTCGATCAATTCTAAAAAAAAAAAACATATACGTCATTTAATAAAATATATGGTGACCTATAGAACAGACTTGTACCTAAAGGTAATAATTGAGAAGTAGCCATTATGAATTATTGTGTTAATGAATAAGAGCTTTAATAATAATTTTCATGATATTTTTTTTTCCCCAATGAAAGGGAGCTGCGCTTTAAATAATAAAAGAAGCAGAAGGAAAGAGAAAAAAAATAAACGTCATCCATTAAATAGGACATCTAGAAATAGGCGCGGCCTCACCACCCTCAGACCATAGAGCAACTGTAATACCTGTGGTATATGTCATGGATACAAGGCCAAATATAATGATTGTAATATCAATCGCCTTTTGACGCCAGGATTTAGCAATTGCTTTCAAGTGAAACAAGGGAGGGAAGAAGAAACACAGAGGAACACAACAAAGCGAGCCGACAAGCGATACAAATTTGTCTAAATCACCAGAACCTGCAATAGCAATGCAAGCACAAATCAATACAGAACAAAAACGGAAGACGTTTTTTTGCCATTTAACCATCGTATTATGCTTTCCAGATCGAGTAAATAATCCATTCTCCACAATACGAATAGCAGGGAATAATTGCAAGGGGATCGACAGACAGATAGCAAGCGCATATAATCCCTGAACGGTATTGACTACGGCAGTACCGGGCATGTTCAATAAAATTACTGTTTGAACATCACTACCAAAAGCAAGATAGGAAATAAATCCAACCGATAAAAATATAGATGTAATAAAAATCATGGTGCCTGATAATACTTTGGGGAACTTTTCAGGCTCTTTCATGGATTCCGTAATAGGGATAACTATACGTATATATTTATATATATATTTAATTTAGAATGTTATCCATGATTGCCCTTAATGCTGAAAATAAAAATACGTACCTAAACCAACTCCTTCATAAGTAAACACAGCGGTTCCGATAAACATGGGGAATGATTTATCATTGATCACCCATTCTACATCTGCGACACCTTGTGTTGATAAAACAAAGAAATCGTAATAGTACAGATAGACCAAACCGATCAAGATGAATAAATCTGCCACTAAGGCAAATGCCGATAATTTTTGAATCTTACGAATCATTGCCAGTGGGACAAAAATAGCAATTTGGCCGAGAATAAGGTAAGACAGCGGTACTCGGATGTCGCATTGTGATACGGATTCAATCAAAGCCTGCACATTTTGAGCGACAAATACCATATATGCACATACAAATCCCATCTGTATAAACATGTTTAGATTTTTGGTTTTTTTTTTACACTGACTAATCATAATCAGTTCCCAATTTACCTGTGAAAATGTGATGGCCAATAATACCGCATAACGCATCTTTTTACCAAACAAGATACCGCCAATATCACCAAAAGAAACAGGAATCTTATTTCTAGTTTCGACCAAAAGTAAAAATGTATATAAAGAAACAAGTGCAATACTTGATAATACAGTAGTCGAGAATAAAAGACCACCGTTATGAAAACTATTAGATTTAAGAAAAAAAAAAGTTAATAAACTTCTCATATACATATCTATTATTGTTTAAGTTACGCTTTAGGCAAAAACATGACACCTGTTCCAACAAACGACTTTAGTAACAAGAAGACGGCCTTTGCTGGAGTAGCAGTTCCTTGCACTGCATTTGCTTGAGCTCTACGAATCAGGGGCGACTCCTCATTATCATCGTCATCATCCGATCTTCTTCTTCTTCTTCTTAAACCGCCGGTCTCTTCATCCTCCACCTCATCCTCTTCATCTTCATCATCGCTCAAATCCTCACCACCAAAATGGCCATACAAGGCCAAGAAGTCAACAAATGTACGTGTCATCCAATGAGGTGGTTTTCTGCCCAGTCTTGCAGCTTTGTCAACAACAAAATGACGTCTAAATCCTCCTGGATCTTTCAATCTAGCCAAAGCGGGATCTAACGGTTCACTGCGGGGAACATAAAATGACTGGGAGCGCTGGCGTCTAGCAATCTGTTCATTTTCTATATCGTCTGCCCATTTATATATATCGTGAGTGATAGCACCACCTGGTAGGTGGTGAACACTGCGGAACGTACTACCTTGATCGTCGTCGTTGGTCACACTACGGTGCAATGAAGAAGCATGTAATGACGAAGAAGGTGAAGTGTCTACTAAATGACGTTTAACTACTTTGGCAACTTGGTCATCGGAGAGGTCAACACTGACAGTATTATCTTCTGGGTTAAAAGTAGCTGTGGAAAGAGGACGAAATAGGCTGCCGCTGTTTGTTGTTAATACGTTCTCTAGGTCAGTAGAGCCATATGTATGGTGAGATAATACACTTTTAGGAGAAGAACCATAATTTCCTGGAGAAGAGCCTAATCGCGCAGTTGAATTAGCTCGATCAAATGAGCTGGACAGGTAAGAAGCTTCATTCAAATATGAACTCCCCTCTCTATAACCTTGCTTTGCGTTCACTGGTAAAGGTGAAGTCATATTCTTTGTAAAGTATGAAGATTTTTTTTAAAAAAAGGGAGAGAAGACTAAAATAAACTTAAATTTATACTTTTGCTGTGTAAATCTCACCCCCCATTTATAATTTACACACCGACAGTCAGTAAGGAAATAAGAAATGATGATGGCATGAATAACAAAATGCATCTCTTCCTTCTTTTATTTTATTATTATTATTCATTATGTATCTGTTAAAGTTTTATGCATAGAGGATAGCTTTTTCCTTATAGCAAGTCATAGTACACCAAATAAGGAAACTTGATAATAACCTTTTGTAACAAGATCACGTCTTTTCGTGCTGATCAGCTGTGTTCCTTTAAAAAGATAAAAGGTTTTAATTAATAATGCCACAGGTTAAACAGATGACGCCACTACTATGATTTTATCTCCACTGTATTTACATATTTACAGCTTGGAGCCGAACTAGATTTTGTGCTACATGATTAAACTGACTGAAACAGTAATCAACAAGGCTACAGTGTAAGGCGGTATATAGAGGTAAGTGGAGGTAAGCGGAGGTAAGGAAAAAGACAACTGGTTCTCTATAGCTTTGGTTTATAGATATTTTTGAGCTAATAAGTATATTGAAAAGTATATTAGGAAAACAGTATTTTTAACCACTGTAATGAGAGGAGTTAAGGTCGATAATTGTCAGCCACACTATATCATCAGATATTACAGCGGATGTGGAGATCCCATTAAGAAAGTTCCAATTCTTCTGCTTTTTTTTTTCTGCTTAAAATAAAAAAAGCATGTGCCTTCTAAAACTAATAAGAGTGTCATAGACCCTATTCTTTGCAGACGTAGTCAGATGCAGGTTGACATGAGGAAGAAAAAAAAACAGTGACTATCATTCCAGTTAAAAAATTCAGGGGGATTTAGTTTGCATGAGTTTAATACTCATCTCAAAATCATTGTGAAAATCCGTTTGGAAAGGAATCATTACTAGCACGGCTCTCGTATATAATATACGTTAAATGAAGTATCTAAAAAGAGAGGTTATAAGAGCCGATTCGCTGGATAATATGACTACAGAAAAGAAGGGCCTAGTATCCCCCTTCGATGTATATAGCTATAAGCAGGTCCATTCGTGGTCTAAGCTTTAGTTAAACTGCGATAAATTTAAGGGGTCGGTCCGTTAAGAGAATAAGAAATTCCAATAACTGAGGTTTAAGCAGTAGCTACATGCTAAACTGGGTAATGGACATATGAGTCAGGTGTCTTGCTTTTGTTTCTTTAGGACATGTAGATGAGTATACATGGAGGGGATCTTATTTTTCCAGTCTTTTCTTCGACCTTCTAACGTTTTCGGTAACAACGTAGATTAGTACTGTTTACGATTAATACTATTTTGATATCTCCTGCATATAAGATAGATACTGATACATTTCATTGTAGTAAGCATCAACCCGAGAGTGAGTGATAATGTAAATGCACGATGGTTCAACCACATGGTGAAGTTTACATCATTAAGATATTTCCAAAATAAGCATTATTTGTCACGATGGAGACGTGCTTGTGCTACTTTCTGTCATCGGATTGTCTATAAGGAGCCAGTTTTATTCATCTTTCATTGTACATTGTTTCCATTTAAAATTGTCGTGAATTGAAATTTCACTTGCTACAAGTCATTCTGAAGATATAAACGGTTTATCTCAAGTGCATGCTGAACTTAGCGACTTGTTTTGTATCTCGCCTTATCCCTAAATATTGAAACGACGGGAGTATACTCCTTTAGGATTGGCAGTTTTACCCCCAAGTCAGATACTTTTCCGTTGCTAAAGTTCTAAAGGAAAGTTTACGTCCATATAATCCATATGTGATTTAGCACAGGTTTCATCACCCCAAATTAAAGTAGGTTTCTACATGATTTTTCCGAACTTCTGTACAATACAGTGCATTGGGTTTAAAAATAGAATTTTGGGAAAGTAATAATGGACATTGTCAGTAGAGATAGTTGACTTTTTATTATAATTCAAAAAAGCTTAAAAAGGCAGTAAGAGTTTCTTCCTTTGGGACAATTGTTAGATTATAATTTTCCTTTATCAATTCCATTTAACACGTTCTTCTTCCTTCAAACATAAAACAGAAAAACGGCGTAGCGATTAGTTCAAACATCCTTACCCAGTTAAAACGGCCACTTCAGTTTGTAGGGATATTAGCTGACCTCAATTTAACAAACTTCCACAATCGATCTTCTTTCAAGTTCAATTTAGACAGGTTAATGGTATCTTTTATGACTTGAACACCAAAAGTTGTTTTTTTAAGGCTGTTTTCAAACGGCTATTCTTAAAATGACTCAGAATATAATAAAGTGCACCATTGCATTCGACTAAAAACTTTGTCCTATACTATAGATTCATGCTCTTAACGATAAAAGCTGCTAGGTCAGTTACGACACCTTAAAGCTCTTAGTCGAATGTAATGGTGCACTTTGTTATATTCTGAGTCATTTCAAGAATAGCCGGTTGAAAACAGCCTTAAAAAAACAACTTTTGGTGTTCAAGTCATCAAAGATACCATTACCCTGTCTAAATTGAACTTGAAAGAAGATCGATTGTGGAAGTTTGTTAAATTGAGGTCAGCTAATATCCCTACAAACTGAAGTGGCCGTTTTAACTGGGTAAGGATGTTTGAACTAATCGCTACGCCGTTTTTCTGTTTTATGTCTGAAGGAAGAAGAACGTGTTAAATGGAATTGATAAAGGAAAATTCTGATTTAACAATTGTCCCAAAGGAAGAAACTCTTACTGTCTTTTTAAGCTTTTTTGAATTATATAAAAAGTCAACTATCTCTACTGACAGTCAAAAGTTTGTATTGATTGTAAGAATTTCTACTGGTCTTTGCAAAGATTCTATTAAGTTCAAATATTTCTATTAGCCAAATAACAATGTCCATTATTACTTTCCCAAAAATTTATTTTTAAACCCAATGCACTGTATTCTTTTTTAAATAAATGACTACCGATGATATGGAGACCTTAGAAAGTAGTAAAAACATGGACTCTAACTTTTAAGCCTTGGTTGGGAAAAAAATGCCATACCGAAAAGTTGTTTTAAGGCGACTAAATAAAAAATTCATAAAGATCCGATGCGATTTTGTGTACATCAAGATTAAAAGTATTAACAGGCGTTTTAAGCATATATTTTGAACACAAAAAATTGTTTATCCCCACCCGACCCTTTTTCAAAAGTGGGTGCCTTTAGGGAAATGGAGCATTCAAAAGTGTGTGCCTTTGAAAAGTGTAGGAGTTGACAAAGTGAATACTTTTTATTGGATTTTTTTTTTTGAATTATTATACCCTTTTGAATAAATGGGGGCTTCCGAGTGATTGCATGCCTCTTAAAAAAGGGGGTACTTTTAACCAAATGAGTGCCTCTACATACAAAATGTTTTGCTATTAAGTACTTTGAAATTATATCACCTATCGGTGACTTGAGTGATTTAGTCAGCCATTGTGCTTCACTTACGTTAAATTCGTTGATCGCCGATGAGATTATATTCTTTTTCTCCTTGGATACATCTTTGAGAGCCTGATTTAGTTATCGTCGTTTCACACCAGCGAATTACATGTCTTTGGTTATTAACATCATAGGGAATTCTAAGTATCCATATGAAAAGAAAAAAAACGTTAGTGTCATAGTTAAGTAAAGTTTCCAAGTTTCTTACATATCTTGCTGTTTATACGATGTATATACAACGCACGGTTTTTGTTGTTATGCGTAATTGGGAGTAGAAAAATGAATGTTCTCTACATCAATCCCCACGAAGATACACCATAAGAAAAACAGACAATAATCTAGACAAAGCAAAAAATACATTTAAATAATGAATACTGTATTGACAGTTCTTGAATCAACAAGCGATAAAATGTAATCATCACCGCGTGCATCGTGGATTTTAGTAAGGTAGTATATATATATATATATATATATATATATGTGCCTTTCCAAGATTATTTTATATATGCACTTTGATATATTATATCCTTTTTAAAGCGGCTCATCCTTTCAAGTGCTCTGGGTTTTGGGAAGGTAACCATCGTTTCAATCTCATTTCTATTATTGTTTCTACTAGGCAAAAACATGGTATGATTCTCTATCATTATGATTCTCTGTCTTTAACAGGTTTTAAACAATAACGCCTTTCGATTTTTTTTTTTCATTTAGCATTTAACTTTTGTCGCGTTATGGGTGTATGATATATCCAAAGCTGCTGTATTTTAATTTTGACATGTAAAGATTGCTAGATTAAAGAGGAACTGCAGTAATGGGGAGTAACTACTAATTAGAATGCATTCAATGAATAAAAATAAATGTAACTTTTGTCAATGTCAGCAAAGATAAATTGGATGTTTAAATGCATTTAATGTGTTACGATGTTAATTGTTCAGGAGTATGCCAAGCTTTAAGAGGAATGCAGTCTCTAGGGTACTTGTTCGATGATCCTTTTTGTTGACAAAAGTGTGTCTATTTGCCAAACATTGTGTCACTCCTTGAAAATGTAACAAATAAAAAAGACTTGTATTATGTCTGTGAGGCTTCTTTTATTAATATCCATTCAGGGTGGCTAAATTTGCAGAAATTTTGCTTCCCACGACATGAGTTTCTCCTAATAAAGATAAGGAGTATCCCCCCTCTCTCTCCCCACGCCGCCACCTTATCAGGCTTAAACTTAATCCTGGAGATCTTATTACTGATGTTCCATCACATTCTTTGGTTGATCAAGATTTAATACTTTCTCCTGGAACAAGAGGTGGGTTTCAATGAAAAAGATTGAATAGATGAAAAAAATTACATATTAAATAGTGTACCATCATGTGTTACTTTATCATTTTATCATACCAAGCAAGTGGTTCGTGCTTTTCTTAATTTTTTATAAAAGTTTCATTGTGGGGGCCAATCAAATGTTGTTCATGCCTTCCCAAATAGGCCTATTTAAAAAAAAAACTCCTATATTTTTGTATTCGTATTGCCTTCTTTAACTTTAAAATGAAAAAAGTAATAGTATCAACCTTACTTCTATCAATAGCAGCAGCATTAGCAGCAGCGGCGGTAACATCAACAGAGATCATCAACAACATTGTGGTATTTGGTGACTCCTATTCTGACACTGGTAACAAACAAAGATTAACAAACGGTCCTTTATGGAGTGAAGATCTCGCTGTTGGTTGGAATGCCTCGCTTTATAGTTTCGCATTTAGTGGTGCTGTATGTGATAACACCATGTATCCCAAAAATAGCCAAAAGGACTACATACCGAGCATTACAGACCAGGTTGAAATGTATTATAAGGAAAAACTGGATTTAAATAATGAAGAAACTGCCATTGTGTTCTGGGTGGGATTGAACGATATTTATAATATTTTCGAAAAGGGTATGGTAGGCACCAAGAATTTAGTATGCTTTCATCTATTGATACCTTTCTCTTAGGTGTGAACGATACCGAAGCAGAATTGAAGAAAGTGGTCGAATGCATCGGCACCAATGTGGTAATAAAAAACAAAAGGGGTTTATATTCGTTTTCAAGATAGAAACTAACTCTTTGGTCATGTTAAGCGCAATATCCGTAAAGTATTCTCATCCAACAAATTCATCGTACTCGGTGTACCTCCTATCGAAAAGATGCCTTATTATGCGAACTCCGATGAAGCAGAAAGCCGAGAAAAAGCCGCGAACCATCTAAACGAGTTACTGACGAAGGATGTAGAAAAGATGAACAAACATTCGCAACATTTGGAACTTGATCGTGTGGATATTCACAAATTGTTGGACGATATTGTGGATAGTCCGGAATTGTTTGGTTTGAAGAATGCGCATGATTCTTATTGGGACACTTGCCAAGGGTTATGTGCGGACGATATCGATTCGTATGTGTGGTGGGACAAGACGCATTTGACAGGAGGCGTGCACCGTTTGATTGCCAATAGTATTTTAAAAGCGGGATCGTTAGCACCAGAGACTTATTTGGAGGATTCGGTGAATGTGCAAGAGCTGATAAATCAAACCACACATACGAAATTCAAGTCACCTAAATATAAAGGAGCAAAAAGCACGGGTGAAATCAACAGAATTATTGAAAAACTAAAGCAAGAAAAGAAGGAAAAGGCAAAGGAAAACGAGGCGGAGGAAATAGAGGAAATGAGTGAAAAGGGTCCACAGAAAAAAAGTAAAATGATTTATTTTGGTATGACGTGTACAGTGGTTGCCTGTATCGGCTTTTTCTTGTTTTTGAAGAACAGAAGAAGAGGATCTCATTTAGCTGCATTATCAGGTCTACTAAAAAACAATAAGCCAGATAGAGGAAGGTTTATGCCGTTGCGTAATATGGATTCTGAAGTCTAAAAAAAAAATGTTGTCAATAGAACATACACAGAGGAAACATAGAATAATCACACCTCGTACCTATCATTTTGGATGAAAATGCCATTTATAAAATCTAGACTAATTCAATTGATCTCATCCACCTACTGCACATCATAACATGTAATAAAAAGCTTAACATTAATATTTCTATGTATTTTATAATTGGAGGATAGCGTGCGGTCATAAGATGGCACTGACAACAACCGCTATTGTATAAAAATATGCAGTAGCTGAGATGGGATATCAATGCATTTATCCAACCTCTTAATTTTTTTCTTTTTTCTTCTTCTCTTCTTTTACACCTTTCTACAATTATTATGGATGAAGTTTATAGTAAAATCAATGAAGGAGAATGGCAAATACCACCTTCATGTAGTTATGTGAGTGATAGTGATTCTCCATTATCCTTATTACCTTCGCCCCCTTCTGTGCCAACATCGCCTATTATTTCTGCTGCTAATGTAATGATGTCAATGATGATGCCACCTTCAACCTATAATCAAGCGCCGTTTAATAATATGAAGACAGGGCAGGAAGATCATGACGGTGAAAAAACTGAATACCGTTCTGTGATGTTTCACGAACATGTTATTGCCGATAATGACTCTATCGCATGCGTACGACCTCAAAATGTATCGATCAAATGGCCCAGTCCTGCAAGTATACTACCGGCCAGCAATGAAGAACAGATAGAAGATGAAAGCGACTCATCATCCAATGATGATAGTATCCGACCCACCACTAGCATTCGTGACTCCATCAAAATTGTCATCACTCATAATAAAAAGGATAAGGAGGCCGAAGAGTGCAAATTGCTTTCAAAAAAAGAAGCCCGCAGTGTCAAAGAGCCAATTGTCTCGATAGAATCCCGTGAAGACGACCAAAATTATAAAAAGCGCAAGGAATCACCTCCGATGAACGATATCCAAAATAAAAAGAAGAAGAGGACTGTCACATCTTATGATACTCAAACCTCACTTTATCTCAAGTCAGTCTTCTTTGAGGTGTACAGTCAACAAGCAAAACTTACAAAGGAACAGCGTGTGAAGGTGCAAGAGAAAACAGGTTTGCCTTCTCGCAATATTACGTACTGGTTCTCGAATCATAAAAGACGATTTCAAAATACACTCAAGATTTATAGAAAAGCTGTTCGAGAAAGTGAAGGAGAGGTCAAAAGCTACAATGATTTTATTCAGTGGCGTCAAAGTCATGGCTTACCGGATCAAGTAACACAAAAGGAAGTGCTTGAATATCAAGAAAATTAAGAATGAAAACTATTGAAATACACTTAAAGTAAAAAAAAAAAAAATTAAAAGAAACAAATAAAAAACTTGGCTTAATACATCAGCTAAAAAATTAAAGATCGATCGCCCTTCACCCAGTAACATGAAACAATGCGCATTTTCTGTTTTCGAGGCCGTATTTTACCTCATTTGATATAATGCAACTTGTCTCGGATCAGACAATCTAGAATCACTGGTTTGGGGGGTGATGTGACTAGGCTGGAATCGGATTATGAATGTATTGTGCACAAATAAAATAAAAAAAAGTTTTAATAATTCACCTTTTTTGTTCTTCCCTCTCTTCCCATTAATCATTAAATGCCTGATAAAGTTGAAAATCAGGTGGATAACACCAAAAAAGCCAGTAACCAGACTTCACTCCTAGCTTGGTTTGAATTAGCAGCTGTCATCTTATTGAATATGTCAATCAACCTGAGATGGTTGACTTTCAGTCCCGTCGCCACCATCGCCAGTCAATATTTGGATGTAAAGATGTCTTCAATTACATGGCTTGCTAATTGTGCTACCCTGATCTATATCGGAATTAGTGCAAGTACTGGCTGGGTGTTTGAGAAATATGGAATGAAAGCTTGTGTAAGACAAGATTCATATGAGCTTTTTTTTTTATATAAGATCTAAACCACCCATTTTAGTTTCTTTTTGCTGCTGGTACCAACATTTCTGGGTCCTGGATTAGATATTTCGGTACATTCGCCCCAGTGCATCAGAGATACCCAATTATCATGTTTGGCCAAGTAAGATTACATTTATTTTATTTTTTAGATGCCAGTAATTAATTTTAATACTAGTGTTTAGCTTCGGTTGCTGAACCATTTATTATGAACATCGGTACGCATGTAAGTATGTCATCATACTATAGAAAGATCTCCATGTATTTATATTTTGCTAGTTTGCTGCTGTCTGGTTCGCCACACATCATCGAGTTACAGCAAATACGCTTCAAGGTAAAAGAAAGAAAGAAAAAAAAACTTATCTGATTTACCATGTGACTCATCATTATTTCTACAGCCTTACCGCTTGGTATGATTGTCGCCACATTATCCATGCCGAAATTAGTTCAATCACCGGATGATATTCCTAGAGCGGTAAAGAAAAAAAAAAGAGATTTATCATTGTTTTTATTTTAAAATCTAATCAAGATTGTAGCTTTTAATTACATCGATTATTTCCACTGTGTTTGGAATTCCATTTTTATTTTTACCAGCAGGACCCAAAGTTCCACCCACCGAAAGTTCCAAGGCAGTTCGTACTACTTTCCGTCAAAGTTTAAAGTCCATGTTGAAGATTCGTAATTATTTATTGTTGATCGTTATCTTCAGTTTCTACTTTGCCATGTTTGCTTCTATTGTGTCTATTACTAGTTACATTTTTATACCTCAGGGATACACAAGTGTTCAAGTGGGTTATGCTAGTTTTGTTCGTATCATTAGTGGTGTTTGCGGTGCTATAATTGCCGGTCGCATCACAGATTACACAGGAAGACATACACTTGTATTAAAGGTTGCTGCTCCCATGGTTGCCATAACAACCGTCATCCTCTACGTTCAAGGTAAGACCAAACTAGATTAACTAAATTTCTATAGTGGATCATGTACTTAGCCTCTAGGATAGATTTGGCAAACAGTTATGCCTTTGTCATGGTATCTTGCTTCTTGAGTGGCTTTTTCGTATTTTTAATTTTACCAGTGTCTTTGGAGCTGGCAGCCGAATGTACTTTCCCGGTATCGGAGTCGGTAAGTGCCTCAGTGCTATGGGGTGCATCTCAAGTCGTGTCATTTTGCTCTACATTGATTATGGATGAATTACGTGCAGGACCCGACGCATCCCCCCCTTATAATATGAAACATGCTCTTATATACGCCATTGTGCTGTCTAGTCTTGGTGTTATTCCTACCATGTTTCTGACTTCTGATTTGAAGCGTATTGGTCATGATCGACAAGATCAAGATGAAGTATCATCTGATATCAAGGAAATGACACAACCTGCTAATGTTAAATACTAATTATAGATCTCATACCCCATCCCCCGTCTCTTTCTCTCTCTTTCCACTCTATAGACTTTTCCCCTGTACTATTTACCTCTCCCTTTTTTTACTTGTACTAATTTTTTTTAATAAGCTATTTACATTTTCTCTCTTTTTCTCTCATTGTTTATTTCTTTTTTCCTTATTGGTTTTGAATGGATTGTTTGTATCTTCTTAACTCTTCTACTTCACTTTCAAGGGCTCCACAAGCAATATCCACTTGTAAATTCTGAGTGATTAAATCGGACCATTTGTTTTCCAGTGATGCGAGAGAAGCAGCAGCTTGAGTTTGATCGTTCTTGCGCTCTCTGTTGATATGTAGGATCTGGTTACGAAGGTATTCTGTGTTCTTTTTGATATTAGCGAGATCGGTTTCTAATTGATAGTTATGAACTCTCCAGGCGTTAGCACCATACTTTTGAAGTAATTCTAAATTAACCATGCTTTTTTTTTTTTTTTGAATGTAAGCTTTTCAATTGTGTTACCCTTTTTTTTATTTCTCTCTCTGATGTTTTTACCTTCCTGCTTGAGATTCTAGTTGAGATTTTGTGTTGTTGACAGCAGTCTTCCATGCTTCAATATCTTTTTCATCGGAAGGACCTTGTAATTCATAACGTTCGGTATCTAAAGCGTCCAAAGGTTGCTTGTTTTGAATACGTTCGATTTCTTGCTTTAAAATGTCGTCGGTTTCAAACAGGTCAATGTTTAAAGGTAAATCAGATCGTTCTACTCTCTTCATGCGGCGCATTTCTTGCTCAATTAATCGTTCCACTGTTGCCTTCATGTCTATTTTTTATATTCATGTATTAAAACCATGGGTTTTTATATTGTTGCGGTTATCAATGTGTGCTTACTGCTTTCTTCAATTTCACGATCAACATCTAGTAAAAAAAAAAAAGTGTGTGTTAAAATATTAAATTCAAAAGTTGCATTGTATTTTTGTTTTCATACAAGGGAGAGCATCAATGTCGACATCAGGTCTTGAGGCTCCTTCGATAGCGTGAGTGGCCATACTGTAGAAATATTTAGAGATGGTGAGGTAAAAAGAAAATGCGCGTAATTTTTTTTTTTTTTTTTTTTTTTTTTTGGAGTAGCCCTCTGTTGCGTCACAGACTCGAAACAAGTCACGACCCTCTTTTTTTTTTTTGACGCCTCCGTGCATGTTGGGACGAGTTCTGTCACTGGAATGATTTGCAATGATTTCATGTAATATAAATAGCCATCGTATAATTACACGGACAAAGGTTAAAAGTAGCAACTTTTCGGAACTGCGGAGCAATTACCCCATACCTGTTTTTTTATTTGTTTTAAGGAGTCTCACGCTTACTAAATCCAGCAATCACAGTGAGAAAAGAATCCGGCCAAAAAAAAACGTAAATAGGTTTAATTTATAGCTATTCTACACTTTGAACTGAGAGCCTATTCCATGTAGAAAAATGCGCATGGGATTTTCATATAGGCAATACTTTTATACGATCCCGTTACTGAAGGCGATAAGAAAGAAGCCGATCTGTCGGAAAGACTGCGCTGTTTCAAGATGGTTAGAAATTTTTGTCAAGGATTGGGGGGAGGGGGGGAGGGAAATGCATAAAGGAATTCCATGATTTATAGATGGCTACTTTAAAGAGCCTATCGAAATATATTAACAAGCATTGACAGTTGTACATATGCCAATGATAGCATCTGAAGACATACACGCATCAATCATGAGTGCCATACATGGCATCACAAACTAAAATAAGAATTATTTTTTTTTTTTTTTTTTTTTTTTTGGGGAATAATGTGTGTGGTGACTCAAATGTCAGATTTGATACTGTCGATCTGCTTAGTAAAAAGCCGATTAAAAATTATTTTCTTTGATAGAAGGAAGCTTTGGTAATGACGTAAATATCATGGATCAAAAGCACAAAACGTTGGGAAACGGGAGATTCCCGTTGTAGCCTTCGGAGCTCCGGAGAAGTATGTATTATATGAACTCAACCTGTTTTTTTGAAACTAAAATAAAAACAGTTTTTTTTTATCGTCCCACGCACATATTTTTTTAATTGTGGCACGCATGATTCGTTTCGTAGAATAAACAACAGCCTATAAATTCCGGATGTTCCCCCTCTCGAACGGACACACACTTTATATTAAAATTGTATACTTTTTATCTTTACATGATGAAAAAAAGAGACTTTTTTTTAAAAAAAAAAAGTGCAATTGCAAAAATGTTTTTATATCTAAAGAGGAAAATAGTTCTGTTTTATCACTATATTTTTGCTTAGTAGGGTTGTACAACAGGCAGACTAAAATTGCCGACGGGCCCCCTTTTCCTTTGTGTATTATATGTTGTACCGGGGGGGTTTTTATTTGCTAGTGCCAATTTATTGGGAGAGAGAGAAAAAGTAGTTAATGCTGCACTGTGTAACAATGTATTTATAGCCTACATGTAGACTGCTTCATCGAATAGTTTCGCGCCATAATACAAAAAAAGAAAATGAACCTTAATCTTTGTGACATGTCACATGAATGGGTATCTACCCAACATCAATAATTTTTTTTGTCTCATGTAAATTTTAATAGGGACGTGAAAAAAAGGATTGTTTGTAATCTCGGTTGCTATGTATTTTATTCGTATCTGCTATTATTATTTATTCTATGCAAACCAACAACAACAATAGCGCAATAAAACTAGAGGTACAATAAGTGTTCCAAGAACTAATAATGATGCTTGGAAGAGGCGTAGACATTATTATTATGGAAGGATTGAATATTTCTATTAGACACGCACACGTTTCTAAGAAGTCTTTTTTACAATTAAAATTTTGTGTATATAATTTTATTAAGTTGGTCAAGATCGTCGATGCTGGTTACTCGCCCCTTTTCTTATCCTCAATTCAACCCCCTTCCTTCTCTTTTATGACTGACTCGACATGGAACAGAACTGACATTATATCTATATAAAGGGTCATTTCATACATAATAGACTACGTCAGAACGAATATAAGGAAAACGGCATAATTTGTATTTGGGTATAATCCACGTTTTATTGACCATTTGGAAATGGGGATGCTGAGTTATTTGAGGTACTTGGACCCTACAAAAAAGGAACAATAATTATTTATAGCGGTGATTTTTTTATTATTATTATTATTATTTACCAGGCACAATTCCTCTGGGGGGAGGAGACTAAAAATCACTTGCAACAAGAGAAAGTTCCCTTGTGCATATTGATTGGATGTTGACAATACCTGTTTCAGACAACAAGTAGTATTTATATACTTTGTTACACAAGCGCTAATGTGTTTGGTTGTGGCTCCTAGAAATTGGTTGGTCGATCAACTGAAAACAATCGCACATTTGGTGTCACGAGACGTCCTGTCTTCACCCAGATCATAACTCCTCTTTTTTTGCCGCACACACACACACAAAAAAAAAAAGCTACAAAAATACAATTTTTTTTTTTAGAATTGGGTTATCTTTCTCCTTTCTTTTTTTAAAAAACAATACTTTTTTTTTAAGATGAAGTTTGTTGCACTTTCGACACTCGTTACCCTTGCACTCTCCGGTGCTTGGGCTGCTGATGTTCAATACTCTGTTATTGCTTTCCCTCAAGGCACTCAAGGAGTTTCCGTTTCTGTCGGTGGTCAAACTGTTGCCCTTCAAAAGAGCTCAGTGCATCCCAACATTTACTCTGGTTCTGCTCCCTTTGGCGAAACCTATCAGTATGTCATCACTGATGGTCAAACCAACACTGCTGAATCTACTACCCGTAAACTCGCTCAAGGTACCACTACCACCGGTAACGAGTTCTTCAATCGTACACAAACCGTCTACAATGTCCCCAGCCTTCCTCAAGCTTTCAACCCTATTTATCCTAGTAAAGTCTAAAACCTTAATATTTTTTTTTAAAAAATATATGTACTAATGTTTATGCTTTGCAGCTTTAATGACAAATATGAATATCTCCAATGAAATTGCCACCATCATTATGAATGTCAATGCCACTGCTTTAGATGCCTTCATCAAGGCTCCCTTAGAGGAACAAGATGATGCCCAAGTCACTGATATTGCCTACATCAACAGCAAGGAAGTCTATACTTTCCAAAACGCTGGTTTGAGTACCAGTGGTCAATCCACCAAGGACTTTTCCAAGCAATCTTGGGCCGTTGATCTCGGTAAATACAACAAGAAGTCCAACACCACCAACCTTTTGTTTGGTCGTACCTCCATTAAGCTTCGTGCAGAAGAAACTGATGCAACACTTGCGTAAGTTCTTTAACAAGAAAAAAAAATAACTAAGCCCTAATGCATCAAACGTTTGCTTTATGCTAATCAATTTTTGTCATCTTAGTCGTGAAAAGTTAGTTCTTGATATGCTTGCTGCTTCTGGCGCCGCAACCCTTTCCGGTTCTTGGACTCGTGTCTTCATCAACAATGAAGCTTACGGTCTCTTCTTGTTAATGGATGATGCCTCTACCCATCTCATTGATAACATCCTTCACGGTGGTGACTGGAAATCTCCCAATACAGGTAATTTACAATACAACTACATTTTTTTCTTTAAATTTTGCCATTATTTTTGCGCGAAAAAAAAAAAACTTTACTGTTTACTCCCTTTTTTTTTTCTTGTTGTAACATGTCACCCTGATTCTGTTTATTAACGTCTTATTCTGTGCAGGTGTCACCTATAAGGGTAATGCTTTAACTCCTGATAACGAAGGTAACTTGGTCTATACTGGTGAAGATGTCGCCAAGTACTCTCCCGATATCTACAAGCTCTCTGACACTGGTGAGGACAAGACTATCAGCAAGAAGAACAACAGTCAATCTCTTATCATTGAATTCACCAAGAAGTTAAGCGAAGTCAATGCCCAAGATGCCACTGATGCTGAACACCCTGGTAGCGTTGCCAACTTGCTTGACCCTCAACATACTTTAATTCATCTTGCCATCAACTACTTGATTGGTTCTTGGGACGGTCTTTGGTATCAAGCCTCCAACTACTACTTGAACCAAGATTTGCTCACCAAGAAGTGGACCTTGATCACCTATGATTTTGATGAGACCTATGGTAATGGTGTTGAAGATGCTGCCATGAATACTGTATCTTACAAGAACTATGCTCGTCCTGGTTCTCAACGTCCTATTGTTGACGTCTTCTTGAACAACACTTACTACGATGGTGTCTTCCAAAATACCCTCAAGACCATTGTTAAGCGTTTCTTCAAGCCTAGTGTTGTTGACCCTATCTTGTCTGCCTGGTCTGAGATGTTGGCTGAAGATATTGCCTGGACTCGTACTATCCCTGGTAGATCTCCCGGTGCTCAAACCTCTTTCACTGTCAAGGACTTTAAGGATGGCTTGAACGGTAATGGCTCTGTGATCTCTATCAGTAGCTGGGTTAACACTCGTGCTTCTTCTCTCACTAAACTCCTCAACTTCACTGATACTGATGACCTCCCTGCCTTGGCTCCTTATACTGCTGGTACACATTTGGATGCTAACGGCAACGTTGTTAGTGGTAATGGCTCCACTGTTGCTTCTGCTGGTAAGAGCGGTAAGGGTGATGGTGTCACCCCTGGTGGAGATGCTGCCTCCTCCGATAAGAGTGCTGCTTCCACCACCAAGGCCACAATTGCTTTGACCATCGGTGCCATTGCTCTCTCTTTCGTCCTTTAAAAAAAAATACCATCTATATTTTTTCTTCTTTTTATCTAATTCTCACTTTCTATAATAACTACCCTTCCATCTAAACCATTTAACTTTTTTATTTTTTCTTTTTTTAAAAAATAAAAATCTATACATGTTCACATAAATGTTTATTTTCTCACATGTAAGAAGAAGGATATGTATTTATTTTTTTTCTTTCAGTAATACCCAAAAAAGTTAATATTAACACGAGTTTCAAAAAGCACACATATTTGCCCGTAGCACTTATCAGTTTTTTTTTTTATTTAAACTGTAGACATTCGCCTCAAATTCGGCACTTTAACAAAAAATACATGATTTGTAATGAGGCGCCTTTTTTTTATGGATGGACCGATTGTTTAGAAAAAGATAATAGTTGTATCTTTGTAAGCTCACATCAGACCATAAATTACAACCGATTCTAAATGTAACATTGGTTTGTGAAATTGTTACGTTAATGAGTCTATAATTAACTCGATATAGAAATGGAAGAAAAGCCAAAAAAAAAAATTATTCTTCTCATTCGTCATATGTATAATAATAGATTTTTATATTCATTTGCCCCTGATATGTTGAGCTAGGGGAGGGGTAGGGCGGAAATCTCCAACAGTATATGACTATTTACACGCGAATTGAGGAATGTTTGTTATTCTCATAAGAAGAAGCGCAGTTTCTGTGTCATGCAATCTCATCAGTAACCCCACGTAGCCGATCCGGGCGTGTTGATTGGACACAATGTCGTATTAAACATTATTGCAGAGGGGATAAATATTTATTAACTGTTACACCATTAATGTAAACAATGAAAAAACCTTTTTTTTTTACCGGGTCAGGAAAAGGTAGATCAGGAGCGATTACAATTATTGGGGGGAGCGATGAAAGGAGCGTTTTTTGGGGGGGGACGCGTATCGCACAGACCTTTTTTTCTGAAAATGACTTTTTTGACATGTCCTTTTTAAATAGGTTCGAATCCACATGACTTTTAAAATGTCACTTTTTCTCTTTCTCTCTTAAACCCCCTTCAACTACACAAAATGTACATCTTTTTTGCTCAATCTAAATGAAAATGGGGAGTACCTCTTTTTGGTTACATTGTTTGTAATTTTCTAAATTCAGCTTCATGAATTTTAAACCCGAGATTACTTTTTTTTCTCTATTTCTTGTTAAATATAAACGTATTTTCATGCAAGGCACATAAAAAAAAAGAAGGGGGGGCACTTACACCGATCCCATCGTTTAAAAATAATGTCATTTTTTACCGAACAAAAAGCAGCCTGATATGGTAAAAAACACGCTTGACAAAAACAACTCCGTTAATTTCGGTTCATCAATGTGAACTGACCCTCGGTTAAAGAGAAAGGGTATAAATAAGGATAACGCCCTTTCACTTTTTATCCCCTTTCATCAACTATTTACCATGAAAATATCCTTGGTTACTACGGGTCTCATCACTATTGCCATTGCATTCGTTCATGCGGCAGACGTCACCTATTCTGTCATTGCATTTCCTGGTTCCGACAAGGTCGGTGTCCAAGTCGCTGGGCAAGATTACCCGCTCCAAAGAAGTCCTATGCACGCCAATCTCTTTACAGGCATTGCTCCTTTTGCCGCTGAATACCGTTATACCATTCTCAATAGCCAAGGACAAGCACAGCCAGAAGAGACCACGCGCCATTTAGACGATGCTGCCACCACCACAGGCAATGAGTTTTTCGGTCGCAGCAAGACTGTGTATGATATTCCTGCTCTTCCTCGCGCTTACAATCCCATTTATCCTGGTAACATTTAATTACTGCTAACCTAAAATAGTGTGCTAACAACAACTTTTATTCTAGCTCTCGCAAGTGACATGGATAGAGACAACGAAATTGCTACACTCATCCTCCGTGCCAACATGGATGCTATCCAAGCCTTTCTCGACACACCCACCGCAGAACACAATTTTGCTCAAGTATATAACATGACTTACATCAACCATCATACCGTGTACAACTTTGAAAATGCGGGCTTGAAAAACGCAGGCCAGTCCTCAAAAGATAAAGGCAAACAATCTTACAAGGTCAAGTTCAACAAGTTTGATAACAGTACCAAGAAAGATCACCTCTTTGGTCGACGTGCGTTCAAATTACGTGCAGGTGCAACGGATCCCACCTTGATTCGAGAAAAGTTAATGATGGACTCTTTATCTGCTTCTGGTGTGGCTACTTTAAACAGTCATTGGGTTCGATTGTTCATTAATGACGAGCCATTTGGTCTGTACCTCATGACCGATGATTCGTTCAAGGGCTTCACGGACAATCTGATTCACGGTGGCGAGAAGATGAATAGCACTGGTGTTACAATCAAGGGTAATGCCATGGATCAAGATACGGAGGCCAATCTTGTGTATAACGGTCCTAGTGCCGCCAACTACGATCACAATGATGTGTATATTTTAGAAGACAAGGGTCGAGACCCTACTATTTCCAAGGAGAATTACATGGCTCCTCTGATTGACTTTATGGACAGATTAAGCAAGACAGTTGTTGGCACCGATGCGCAAACACCTGGTACCATCACCGACTTAATGGATAGTGCAGAGCATACAATGATTCATGCCGCTATGAGTTTCCTTGCGGGATCCTGGGACGGATTCTGGTACCAGGCTTCCAATTATTACTTGAACCAAAATAGGGAAACCAAGAAGTGGTATTTGATTACATATGATTTCGATGAAACCTTTGGCAATGGGTTAGAAGATATTGAATTGATGACCACGCCTTACCAAAAATATCAACGTCCAGGTTCTAAGCGTCCTCTGATTGATGTCTTTATCAAGTCACCTTACTATGAGCCCAAGTTTCAAGAGATTCTCAAGACATTGATCAAACGTTTTTATAACCCTCGCGTGATCAAACCTCGTTTGGAGGCATGGACCGCCATGTTAAAGGAAGACATTGCATGGGATCGCTCGCTTCCTTTCCGCTCGCCTGGCGATAAAGAAAAGTTTACCGTCAATGATCTGAATAACGCGCTTGTGACTGTAGGTTCAAGAATGGGCGTGTTGGAATGGATCTCCAACCGTACATCCTCTGTATGTCAGCAATTAAACTTCAATGATACAGACGACTTACCCGCTTTGCCTTCGGCATAATAGTCTTATATAAATAAATAAAAAACTTCTGCATATTCATGTCTTTTTTTTTTTATTATTTCTTTTTTTTATATGTACAAGGGTAATACTACAAAATATTTTTTTAATCTTATTATTGAGTGTTATTGTTGTTGTTGTTGTTTTGTTGTTGCTTATTGATTAATGAAATTAATTGTTCTCTATTTATTTGCAATCTACGTTGTAATTCTGGACTCAATTGGCTGTATTGGTTTTGGAATTGGGGGTTGGTAAGCAGTGCAGTAGCTTGAGCTAGCCCATTTGCATAATTGGCAGATGCGGTTGCAGCTATATAAAAAAATAACTGATATTAAGATATGATTCCCCCCCCCCTTTTTTTTTTCTTAAGATTTACCTGAATTTTGCTGTTGAGGTTGCTGCTGCTGTTGTTGTTGCTGCATCTGATATTGTTCTAATTGGTTCATAGCTTGAGCAGGCAACATTTGCTGCATCAATTGTTGTAACTGTTGTGGCTGCAATTGTTGCATTTGCTGCTGCATCTGTTGTTGTAACTGTTGGGGCTGCATCTGCTGCTGCTGTTGTTGTTGAGGTTGTTGTAATTGTTGCTGCAACTGTTGTTGCAACTGCTGTTGTTGTTGTAGTTGTAACTGTTGTTGTAACATTTGTTGCTGCTGCTGACGAGATTCTTGTTCAGCGGCCGCCGTTAACCTGGCCTTTTCCGCTTGCACGCGTAACAATTCCTGGTGCTGTGCTGCCTGTTCAGCAGCCACTCTTGCCTGCTCCTCTGTTAATTTCTGACGTTGCTCAGCCAACACTTGTCTTTCTACTAATATTTTCAACGATACATTGCCTCCGTTCTTTTCGATTTTTTGAGAGATCGTGGCATGTTTTTCGAATAACTCGGTTTGGCATTTGAAAATTTCAATCATTGTATGATCTAAGTAAGTTTTGAAAATTTTGCTTTTAGTAAAAAACTACCCCTTCTTCATTTTTTATAACTAGCGTCCTCTTATTTTTTTTTTTTTTTTACCTTGTCTTTCCAGTGGAATCTTATTTGCGTCTAAATCGCCTTTAGGGTATTGATAAATATGATACGGTAATAAACGATCCATGGCATCTTTTACCGAAGTAAAAGGTGATTCATAATCAGGCGCTGTAACTGCTTTCTGATCAGCCAATAATGATTCTATACATCTGTAGTACGATCCCAAATGATTAGCACATAATCCCCTATCTCCCTCCCCAATAACTGTAACCTTTACCTTTTCTTGACTTCACGATGCTGGATTTCTTCCTCAGGTAATCTCTTGGATAGGATCGAATCTGGCTGTTGTAAGGTGGCAGCCCTTTGATTTATGGTCGCAGGTGGAGGTGGAGTAGGAGCGGGAGAAGACTTGATGTTTTGTTCCTGTGGTTGCTGTAGTTGCTGTGGCTGTTGTGGTTGTTGCTGTGCTTGTTGCGGTTGCTGTTGCTGTGGTTGCTGTGGTTGTTGTGGTTGTGGTTGTTGTGGTTGTGGTTGTGGTTGTTGTTGAAGCGGAGGGAAAGGAAAAGCGGTATTAGGTGTATTTGCACTCATGGGAGTACTAGCAGCGCTTGCAGTGACAGGCGTAGTTGGTGTGGAGGTATTGTTACTTTGAAGGGATTGCTGTAAAGCCAATAACTGTTGTTGAGTCAATTGTTGTTGCTGCTGCTGATAGAGGTAAGGTTGCTGTAACTGCTGATTAAATTGTTGATGCAACTGCTGTTGTAACTGTTGTTGTTTCTTCTTTGAATATTTCCCAGTTTTATTATACCTTCTGGTGGTTTTACTATTATCATGTGGTGAAGAAGGGTTTGAATCGTATGGAAACATTTGTTGTTGTTGCTTCAAGTGATATTGTTGCTGCTCCAATTCTTCTCTTAATTTGCGAGCGGTTTCTTTAATGGCGTCCGCTTCTGCGGCGGTGGGTTGAGGTGGTGTGTCTAATGAAGGTGTCTCGTTTTTAGGCGCAATGGGTTTAATATCGTGTTGCTTTTGTTGAGCCGAAGCTGCAGCTGCCATCGTTGCTTGATGCAAAGCTTGAATCTCCTTCATTAACTGTTGTCGTTGTTCCTCCCCGATAGCGGCTACTTGCATGTTGTCCGGTAATTTGTAAATAATTTGATCGCGTTTGCGCACCATGAGTACTTTTAGACCAGCCAAAGTAAGTTGTGTAATGATTTCCTCATCATCGGTATTGGACGGTGAAGGTGGCTACATTGAAAGGAGTTAGTATAAAAGGTTTCCGTCGTACGCTTCGCGTAATAAATCTAATTTTTTTTCTGAAAAAAAAACTTACTTGTTGAAGAAGAGAAGTGTCTTTATTATCACTCATTTTTTTTTTTTTTTTTCTAAAAAAATAACAGAAACGCTAAAATGGAACACAGAGGGAACATTTTTTGTATCTTTTTTTTTTGTGACCGTACAAATCAAAAGGCAAGAGAAAAGACCTTCTTTTTTCTTCTGAAGTGTAAGGGAAAAGGTGACAAAGTATAAATACGCGCAAATTATAAATGATCCTGTAATTTGATTTTAAATTGAAGCAGTTTGTTATTGTATTGAGATATGACAAGGGGATTTTTTTTTCTAGCATCCATCCTTACACACCCAGGGGATCTTATTAACAAATATGGTAACTCATACTTTTGAGCTAATCAAATTATGCCTTTAAAAGACGGTAATGGTACATGAAAGAGTTCTATCAATCATACAAATTTATATACTTTTATTTACAATCCTTAACTTGACACTAATATAGGAACCACTGTTATTGTCTTTAAAGAAAATAAAAAAAAAAAAAACCCTAAGAATTACTTTTAGCTGCCATGATGTCACGGTTACAAACAATATTTCAAGTGGTGTTTTATCACTGCAATACTGAGTGTACTCTTCCTTTTGCTCTCTTAGCTATAGCATTAATGTCAATTCTCTCTTAGCTATGGCACTAATAGCAATTCTCTCACATATTTGACTCGTCGACTATACTCACTGAAAGTTGATCATAGGAATATTCATGAAGAGCTTTTAAAATTGGTTTTATTGGTACGACTATAGTTATTACCTTTCATGCTAGATAAGAATTCTCTGTCGTCAAAAGCAATGCTGATATTGTAAACTTGTATGATATGCAAATGCTTTTTGCGGACTGAAGGACCATCATTAAATCTGCACTTGTGGTGTTTACTTTTCATTTCCAAAATAAAAACTGTTAGGGCATGCTTTTTATCTATTTATGCCTACACTTTCTTAATATTAAAAGACGCAGATTCATAATTGGAGGTGGAATACGTAGGTACAGTACCAGAAGCAAAAGTGAAAGATATAGGTAACTACATCAATAAAAACACAAAGGCGGACACTACACTGGGTTTTATGATGTAAGTGACCACTAATTTTTAAGCTTTTCATCCTTGAGTGTATAATTTATAATTGGCTGATAAAATGACTTCATTTACATAATGTATCATAATTCAATGTCCACACACGGAGTCCCTCTTTCATTTTGCTTTTTATTTGTGTGTAGTTAAAAAATATTCAGCATGTCAAAAGACAAATTAGATGACTGGCTGAAAGAATTAAGAGAAAGCTTCCATGACAAGTTTGGTTCCGACAAGGAGATTCAGGTTTGGGCAGATTCCGTTGTTCAATCTATTTGGCGACCTGTTGCTATCGGACTAGCTGTTGGTATACCAGCAATGTATATTATCTCCAAGTATATTGTTGGTAAAAGATTTAAGACTGCTGCGCATATCCCTCCCGAAGTGTTTGAGAAATCCCAAAGAATTCATGGTAAAGTCGTGGCGGTAGGCGACAGTGATAACTTTAGATTGTACCATACTCCAGGTTTCGGTTGGGGATGGATCAGAAATATACCCAAGACCAGAAAGGAACTGCAAAATCAAACTATATCAGTTCGTATAGCTGGTGTCGATGCACCCGAAGGGGCTCATTTTGGTATGCCTTCCCAACCTTATTCCAAGGAGGCAAAGACATTTTTAACAAATTTGGTGCTAAATAAGAGAGTCGAGGTTGAACTTCTGAGTAGAGATCAGTATAGCCGAGTGGTAAAAAGTGATAAATATGACAAGATCAACAGCTCAAACGTACTGATTATCTTTTTCTTTTTGATAGGTGGGTATGGCGTATGTTAGAAAGCCACCATTTTTCTTTAAAAAGAACGTGTCAGCAGAAATGCTTAAATCAGGTTTGGCAAGCATATATGTTGCTAAAGGTGCTCAGTATTCTGGTCAACTTAAACACTTTGAGAAATATGAAGCAAAAGCAAAGTAAGTACACTCTTCAAATTTTTTTAATAGCTGATCTGATCTATTTTAGATCTCGTAAAAAAGGTATCTGGTCATTGAAGAATTACGTTTCTCCTGGAGATCATAAATCCAAGTGAGTACCAAGCTTCTATTCTGAAAGTTTTTTATACTAATTTATTTAAAAAAAAAGATATTTGAATTGATAGACTTGTTCAATACAGCCAATGTATGTTTTAATCCTTAAAAAATAAACATTGATATAATGGTTGACTATTTTAATAACATACCAATGATCTTAAAAAATGGTTGCGTGTCCAAATTAGTCGTACTCGTTATAATCATGATTCTAGTCAACTAAGAACGACAGAATTTGTCACAACTGGTCTCTCGGTGTATTAGTATAGCTGGACGTAGCTTCGAGATCCATATCAAAGATAACAGGAAACAAGTAAAGAATTATCAATAGTAGCCCTGCTATTTCTGGGACAATTAAGTTTATTGCTATTGGCTCAACGTGAGTATGTAGACTTTGTCTCTAGTAGATTTTTGTTATTGTTAGCTCGCCTCCCCTCATTTTCAGTTCTTCGATAACTGGCTCGATGTTGCTCCGCAATAGCTAGTGCCACAAAAATTGACTAGTCTGAACACAAATGAACAAAGCGAAGCATGATTTTTGTAGCATTTTCGTTATTAAATACCCCTAATATCTAAATGTTTTGCTCAGTTTTATTGTTTACTTTTTGTAAATAGGGGACCAGAACATTAACTAAACATCACAACTGAAAATTGATTTTAAAGAAAGATCTTATTCTAAACAGTCTCAGTTATAGACACCTTTGGAATAAAATACTTAAAAAACAATACAACACGTATGGCCGAAAGGACTCATTGCTTTCGCAAAATACAAGATCGAGGAATTCCTATGAGACTATCAACTTAGTGGTTGATCAGATTGGAAAAGAGGATTTTATAGACAGCGAAGTCGAGCAAAGGAACGTCCCATTGGGCTCGAGGAATAAAAAAAGAAATGCAATGATGCCTCACGCGTGAGTGAAAAAAATCATTGCCAGAAAATTAAACAGAAAATATATATGGGATATCAACACCATGTTGGGGAAACAATTTTTTTTACTCAAAGCAAAAGGATAAATCTAATATCAATATGCCATATCTGAAAGGGGCATCAATTTTTAGTAATTGCGTGTCAAAAACTAAAAATTTGCTTCTCATCCAAAGAACCAAATAAACTATAGCTCTAATAAATACCCTTATATTGACCATTGTTAGAACTGTTGATGTCGATTTAAAACGAAATTCAAACATGATCTTTTGTAAAAAAAAAACCCGAGACAATTTTATTTACATCACCAAAGATTCACTTTAAGGCAGACGTAATATAGTTAATATTCTTTAATCAAGAGACAAATATTTTAAGGTAATACATTTTTATTGAGAAGTTACGCGAATGTTAAAAATAAAGATAGAAGTAAAGATATACATTAACAGATTAGAAAGTTAAGAAAATTATGTAAATATGTAAAAGGCTCGACCATAATCAGTTAAGATAGATCTAGGGAGAAGGGATAGAAAAATCCACAAGTTATTTTAAAGTACTTTATGTAGGCGCTTAACTGGGAATCTTTTTGAAAGATATGTATGAACAGGTCCCAGCACTACAACTCTTTCATAAAACATTCCTGCAAGAAGATTTCCCATTACAAGTCCCCAAAGTTGCCATCTAAACTCGACAGGCATGACGTTATTTCCAATGGGAGTATTATACCGTTCGACATTGGTAGGTGGGGGTGTATAACCAAATTGAGTCAACACTTCTTTGGTTCCACAATTGAAACGGAACTGATGTAAAAAAAGCATATTAGCAAATATTTCAATAAAAAATTTGTGAACTACGTACCATGCAGCCGAAACGATTAGGATCAGCCAACATCCAATAAGATGCAATTGCGAGATAAAGCAGCCAAAGGAAAACAAGAGAATAATTTCTCCAAAAGCTTTGTCTGAACTTGTAGCCAAAATTAAAGATAGCAGCATTGTTAATGAATTGGAAAAGACATAAGAAGGAAAGAATTTGACCTTCATAGTTGTCAGACAGCAACCACCACTTGGACATGTCAACTGCTCTGGAATCAAATTCGTTACAACGGAACCATGCTAAATAAACAAACAGGTTAGCATTCTGTATAATTCTAGCTGAATGTTAATTATATTTACCTTGCTTAAACAATAGGACGTAGGCACTAATAATAAAAATCCAATTAATAAGAGCTAAGCCCACGCCAGATGCCATTGTTTGAGGGCCTAATAGACGTGCGGTAGGACGTTGAGGTTCAAGACGCTTAGCAGCTTTAGATTGAGAAACAGCCCAGGTTAAAAGAACAGTAATAAAAACATCAATGGCAATCTAAAATAATTCATATGAGTACACGTGTTAGTTATGCCATTTGCGTATTTATAAATTATTTTGCGTACCCATAGATTTGATGACATTGAAATTGCAAAATAAAAAGTGAATACTTTCAGCATCATCATAACTTGACCATACATGATTAGGTATTTGTAGCCGGTAATAGAAGTAGCAAGAGCACCACGTCCCTGACGGATTAATTCAACGCAAGAACGGACACTTCGGACACTAGTACTAAAAGGGGACACAATAGATGCTTCCGCATCTGACATTGCAATACCAACGTGAGCAGCACGGAGTGCACCGCAATCATTTCCACCGTCACCGGTCATGGCTGTGATACCACGTTCCATATGAAGCTGTACACATTGTACCTTTCCATTAGGAGTCATGCGAGCAAAAACACGAATATCCAACAAATACTTTCTAATCAAATCTTTATCTACAAGCCATTGGAAAGCCTTACCAGTTACCGCCAACTCTAAAGGAGTGTGATCTCTATTTAATAGATATTCGTCCACGTTAACGTCATTAAAAGTGTCAGGCTCATCCACATCGGTCCAGACAACACGGTTCTTAGATTTGTCGTAATCTCCCAAAAGAAATCTGTTTGTACTAGTCATAGACATGCCACATTGACGAGCAATATATACACCAGTTAGAGCAGTGTCACCAGTAATCATAATTGTTCGAGTATCACCTCGCTTTAGTTCAGCGATGTTTTCGGCCGTATCGGGTTTAAGCTGGTTTTTGAAAATAATGAGACCAATGAAGTTGATGTTTTCTTCCATCTGGTCACGAGTCCAATGGCTGAAAGCTTCTAATCCTCCAACTTTTTCTAAATCAATTTCACGATGAGCCAATGAGAGTACGTAACAGCCTTGTCTTGCTTGATTAGCAGTGACGCGATCATAATCAGAAGGAACAGAGTTAGGGTTAGACAAATCCTTGATCTTTTCATAAGCACCCTTTACAAAAATATGTATTTTGTTTGTGCTTGAATCAAGAACAGCAACGGACATAGACATACGAGAATGGACAAATTCATAACGTTTAATGATATGGACATCAGAAGCGGAACCAGAAGGAGGGGTGAGAGTGTCGACGTATTTGGAATCTTGAGATAAGTGCCATTTGGAAGATTTGAACATTTCGATATCAACAGGGTTACCAATAAACTGTCCGTTTAAAGTCGTAACAGCATGACAGGTGGCGATACCAATTTCCATCAGCTTAGGGACATTTTCAATGGTTTCTTCATGTTTACTAAACTCGGGTGTCAAATTGGCTTTCAGGTTTTCAACAATATCATTGGAGTTTACAACAGGCTGGGCACCAAAAAATTCAAGACCTTCCTTTGTCAGAGTACCTGTCTTATCGAAGCAGAATAATTGAACTACAATAAAAAAATTATTAGGCCAAGTTTACAAGAGCACAATTTTTACAATCATTACTTTTTCCCGCCATCAAAATACGAGGTAAATCAACACAGAAAATGTTTTTTTTTCTCAAACGTCCAGCAGCTACTGATTGACCAACAACTAAAGCAGCAGGAAGCAATGGAGAGACAAGTTGACCAATAGCAAACATGGAATAGAACCAGGCACCTAAAAAAAAAAGTTAGACTTGTAAACATTTAAGGCTTGTTGTACAAAATTAACTTTACTTGTCCCTTTTGCATACAACCAAATTGCTAAACCTAAAGAGACCAGACCACAGCAAAGTAAAATCAAGATAACGATTTTAATTTGCTCGTTGAAAATAAATGATACTCGGGTGGGAAACAGAATCTTCTTAATAAGTTCACCCTTATCTGTTGCAGTACCGACATGTGTCACCAAAGCAGTTACTTTACCACCTTTTTCGGTAGGTTGGGCTTGTGAGATACCTGTGCCGGAAAAGATAGTCGAGATTTTGCTGGCACCAATTCTGTCATAGACCGTACTGATATCATCTTGACGAAGAGGAAACTTGCGAATAGGTAACGGTTCACCCGTGAGAGAACTTTCATCTGCTACAACATTACCAGTCAAAATTACGCCGTCACATGGTGTAGTTTTTCCTTCGGTCACTTCAAAAACATCTCCAGGTAAAAGGTCTGCGGTCGACATATTCTCCCATTGCCCATTTCTATATATGTTGACATTGTCCGTATACTCTGCCATTTGCTTGATACGTTTTTCAGCACGAAGACGTACAATAACCTTGACAAGTGCGGATATAAGAATAACAGCAGTGTCGGCAACACCGACCTCCCCTAATAGGAATTATTAGCACTTTTTTTTCTGTCTTCATAAATTCAAACTTACAATAAGCAAAATAATAAAATAACCAAAGAATTGTAAATTGATAGATATAAAAGAAAGCACAGAATTCTTGAAATAAGGCTCTTGAAAAGTTGGGTACATAAACCTCAATAAAGTTAGGGCCTATCAGCTCTTGTCTAAGTCTTGCTTCTTCAGTACTAAGGCCTTGGTTAAGTTTTGCAAGCTCCGCGTTAGTATCACCCAAATGAATTTGATGCGGGGAAAAAATTTCAGTTTCTGGCTGATATACATATCGAGTACATTGATAAATAAAGTACTTTGTGCCACTGGAGGTTGATTTGAGAGGGGCATTGGTAACTATCACATCCATACCGGCAATACGCTTGGCTGTTGTTTCTAAGTATCTTACAAAATCCATAACCTTATCTGACTGACCCTGTAGTAAAATCAAAGCTACAAAGAAACCGTTAGATTTTTTTTTAAAAAAAAAACTTCATACTCTCATCCTTACCGGTTTCATTTTTTTCAACTTGCACATATTCACCTTGACCATAACTGCATCTGATTCTGAAGAAATTGGGTAATCTGAATCTAAAAATTGTCAAACTGGCAAACCAAAAGAAGAAAATGTACCACATAGCTATAAAAGTACTAGCTTGAATCTCGCTAAATCCCCGGAATAAAAGAAAATCTGTGTAGTAATCCTTCACCATCATGATCATAAAACAAATTTGACCAATCGTTTGGACAAAAATAATATATGCAACGATCTTGCCAAGCCAATTTGTTTTATAAGCATGAATCACCATATCATCTTCGTTTTCTTCAACAGAAGAGACCTCGTCGTCGCTTAAACCAGTTTTTTGACCATCGATTTTTTCACTGACTTCCTTTTCCTTGCCGTTTTCATTGTATTCATCTGTTCGAAGGTCATTTACCTTATGGAAATTAGCCTTAATTGACTATAGTTATTATTTTGAATAATTAGTTATTCTGTGTAGTACAATTTGGTTTCATGCGTTAAGTACCTTCTCTTTTGCATTTTTATAAAGAACCCATGTGAGTAAAACAACAATGCATGATCCATAGTAAGTATACAAAGCAATAAAGACACCTTCGGTAAATGTTAAAGCTCCATAATCAGGGGTTGGGCACTCTTTCCACATAATTGAATCGGGATTCGGGGACCAATTAGGTATGTTCTGAATGTTCACAGCTCTACTACATGCTTCAGCACTTTGATTTGCCTTATTTTCAGCTATAAAGTTTTCAATGTTTGTATGGATAGTTTCGGCACTACAAGGATATAGCTTCCCCTCCAATGCAGGGGCCCCAGGGCAGCCGCATAAAGAAACCAGTGATTCAGAACATGTATCACGACATTCACCATCAACGCAGTAAGTAGTACCGGTAGGGCAAATAGGAGGCTGGTTTGTAGGAGGACACATGGATATATCACGAACGCAAAGTGTTGGACAAGGGTAAGAATAATAAGTAGGAAGCTTACATTTGTTGCCATATACATCACGATCATTGACTATTAGAAAAGTTAGTAAATGTACAAAATCAAAATTGTGAATAGCTGCTTACTTATATTAAATTGCGGGGATGCTACTGAAATTGTGATTGACCAACAAAGAAGGACACATAAAAATGCTGCTGTGGTAAACACATTTTTGCCATGATGTTTTCGTCTTTCCATTTTTAAATTATGGATAAGTGTGAAGAAAGGAACAAGAAAGAAGCATCTGCATCTATGATTATATATAGAAAACTGGTGGCAATTAAAGTTGTCATCAACCTAGGCTGCTGAACCTAAATAAAAAAGCTCTCCTTATTGACGGTTACTGATGTATGGCCATTTACAATATAGAGCCCAATTTAGAAATTATATTATGTTTGAGTAACATTGAACTATGATTACAGAACCTGGGTAACGCAAACAATAACACCCGGATGTTTTTTATTTTTTTTGGCAAGAGTAAAAATGTAATAAATTCGAGGGTTCTCATACACAAAAAAAATCACAAACCTTAAACTGTTACAAATGACGTAAAAATATATTCTGACTTGTCTTACCTTTGTGTGTCTTGGGATCAGAAAGTGTCGGATATTCTAATCGTACGTATAAGCGTAAAGGGTCTAATCCTTTCTCGTACACCCTCACCATGAAATAAATTTGCGCTGTAAATTTAAAAAATATTGGTAGATAACGGTATTTCTCTATCATCCTTTTATCACTGGATAACTCTCATTACGACGTGTAAGATTTATATATATATATATATATATCGTTAGATACAAAATTACCTCAACTTTATATCTCACTACATATAAGTGCTACATAAGGTCAATAATGACAATATAGAAGTGTAGAAAGGCTTTTTCTTTTAATAGAGCCACTCAATTCCTTTTCTTTTTTTATCCAAAAAAAATTGGCAGAAAAATTTGTAACTTGAGTCTGTCTTTTTTTGTTTTCAGAATACCAGTTTCCTGGCGCACTTTTCGTGTCAAAAATCAATAGAAAAAAATTCAAGAATTGACATTAAACAATTTTAAAACATTAAACTTAAATTTGAAATTTGAAAGACACTTGAGTGTTCATATCTGTAGATTAATTAACATTGTCTATTTGAATCATCACATATATAAAACATCAATAGAAGAGATTCACCGCGCTTTTTACTGAGACGCTTGCATAAAGTAATAAATAAATCACAGTTAAAGCGATCTTTACCACTGTTAACAAATAAATTATACCGGGTCTTAACTATTATGCGTAAAAATGAGCAAGCCTATCAAACAACCGAAATTAAGTACCAATATTAAGAAACACACCAGCTCCCTTCTTATTTCTCAGTCTTTGGTTTGTTTAGCTTAGAAAAAAAAATATGACGGGGGTTGTCTGATTTTCCTTAAACTTATTCAATCCCTTATTCTTCCTGATATGTCTATAAAGGTTTGCAGCCAATAAGTATAGCTTTTACATGATCATAGTATATATCTTCTTGACTTTTTTTAAAAAAAAAGTTTATTGCTACTTGTAAAACTATAGTTTTAAAGCGCTTCTTCCTCTCTTGGACCATTGAAAACTTGGTCTTTCAAGACCTGAGATAGTAATCCATGAACAGCTTCAACAGTAATTTTGGAGCTATCCTTTGTTACTTTGCTGAGTTGGCTCTCGTCGTTTTTCTTTCTATCACCATAATACCCTCCCATACGGCCTGTCATACTGTCGTTGGTTTTATTTAATTTTCGTGCGAGGTCAGCCATTTGTCTGGTTGCATACTCTCGGTTCTATTTAGATTGGTTAGTAGTGTCTTATATAACTGACCAAGACGGGCTACTCACAGTTAAAAGAGGTGATTGAGATAAAGTGTTTACCCAGTACTTATTCCATAAGACTTCTAAAAGCTGAGTATCCAAAGTAGATTTGAAATGAGAGACTTCGAGAGAGTAATATGATTTAGCATGAACACCAAAATCTTCGATTTTGTTGAGGGGTATAGTCTGATATTCAGATGGACCTTCATCTGGTGGTTTATAACCTGTGGGGAAAGTCCTAAAAGCACCAATTTCAACCTTTCCAGCAGACATTGTACGATTGGGGTCAATAACAACAGCCACAAATGGTTCCTGATACTGTTGATTTAACATTTGCGTGTTAACATCAATACCAGATAACCAGCAACCATAACCAGGATGTGAATGATACCATCCTAAAACATTCTCCAGTCTACCAACCTGATAAACCATACATCAATTTATAATCCGCATATTACCTTCAATATTGTTTGATGTTACCTCCTTTGACTTCTCAATGTAGGATACCATGTATTCATACGCTTCGTTTTGAGCATTTACTCTGGTCTCAGTTCCTTCAACGGGAAGAGCAAAACTATCCATAACATACATTGTATCCCCTTGAATTTTGCCTTGCATTAAACCCATGATTTCGATATTACCGCCAGAACGAGCGTGCATAACCTGATAAAAAAATAAATTTTCATTAATCAATAAACTAAATTTACAGCACATTATTACCATTTTGATAAGAGCAATAGCAGAAATCTTGACATGCTTAAAATAATGAGGGCTGAAAGGAGTTGTGAAATTTTTATTAGCGTTCGTGAAAAAAACACGTCAGAACGAAGATGCTTACTCGGCCTTCCAAGGTTTCAACGCTACATTTTCTTTATCCTGAGCTGCATCGTAAAAATATATCTGGTCTTGAGCGGGATCCACAGCACTTATGTTGTTCTCTATCTCCCAATTCTTTTGAGCAATTCCTGCGTCCATCTTTTTGGCAATTGAGAAACTGATTATCTTTAAGTTTGGCCGACAACAAAGAAAATTAAAAAAGGCTATTGTGACCGTTATTTCAATCAGCGTCTTGAACCACACAAGCTTTACTGTTACTCATCTTATAGCTTAGTATCATCTACTCTATTGTTTTTCCGTATTATATATCACCTTATTCTATTTCTGTATTAGATATTTTAATACAGTAGTTGACGACTGTCAGAACAACTAGATAAGATTGTTAAATATATATCAATAAACGGGATCGAATTCTTTCTTTCTTTCTTTCTTTCTTCCTGTTAAACTTTGCTAATTTTTACACACCTGTGATTTATCTTACTTGTTTGCAAATTTCAAAACTTACTAGAGCAACAACTAGACCTTTACGTCTGTATTATTTAACAATTAATATTACGGTCTCCTTCTTATCATCTTGAACATCTGTTTACATTTATTTATTCGCCATACAAGGTAAACATAAAGCGGGTCTCTTAGGGACATCCTGGTTGCGCGTAGTCGTAATGTTGGGATTATGATATTTTAATAGACACCAAGAGGTTAATATAACTTAATAACTTGAACTAGATACAAATTTATCACAACCAACATGGTTTAAACCAGTATATGTGTGTTATAGCTTACTTTCAGCTACTCGTTTGGACGTTACCTTAATATTTCTGCGTAAGATTAAGATCAAACGAGCTTAAAGACGAAGGAGTGATGGAAGAATTGTCAAACCAAGTACAAATTATTCAATATACATTTATTCGTAATTATCAAATTGTTTTTGATGATATATTCTTGTTTCCGAGTCTAAAGGATAGCCAAATCCCAAATCTGACGTTGTGACTACGTACACTTTGGCTGTCCCTAAGAAAAGCGAACATAAAGACAACCAGATTGATTTTACAAATACATATATAATGTACATCCAATTGGAGCCATTTTTTCCATATAGTTTTTTGAGAGGGGAAGCAGAAAAAGGGTTTTTTGGTGTTATTGAAAGCCCATTCTTGAAAGTTGATTCAAAAATTTGGGCCAAGGACAGCCAATTAATCCCGCAAAGCTCTATTGATACATATCTAACTCTAAATACCCTCAGACCCCATTGTCAATTTGTGTTATTTGCTACCAACAGGCAGTTTGCTTTTGAATATATTAAAGTATAAAACAGATCATGCCGTGCAACAATTGTTTCAAACTTCCTCAAAAATGGCAATGGCAGGGTCAAAGCAGAAAAATAAATCATTATTACCTTTTCGATCGCTTTTTGGGCAGATTAAAAGACAAATTGAAACTGTTGTCGATAAAGATAGTAGGATGACCCAAAATTTTTTGAAAAAATAAGAATGCCTTTACCAACCCGTATTCGATTATATCGTCCACAAATGTGAGCTTCGTGGTAATTCTTGGGTGGCTATCAATCACGCATTCATATGAATATTATATAGACGGATGCTAATAAGCAGAGATCATGGTGGGCTTTTTTAAACCCAAAGGTATTGTTGAAATAATCTTCTGTAATCCTCGACTTTTATCCACTGTGGCTAATTTATATAATAAATATGGTTAACTCCACTGAAGCCACTACTGAGGGAAAAGCATCAATCAAAGTTCAGTTAGAAGTTCACAAGCAAGAAATTCTTTCAATATACTGACAAGCGGCTACGTGATCGTGTCGTGTGTGTGGAGACTAAATAGGCTATTTTAGAGTGTTGGAATGGCGTCATTCTCAAACTTACTTTTACTGGCGTGTTTGTAGAGAACTAAACAAGGAATACTGATCTTTTAAACAAAATATACTACAGAAGGATCAAATTATGTAGATCTGAAATGTAGCAACGTATTTGAGAATGGTTTAAGACCAATACTGTGGATGATGACAACAATGATATGATGTTGCTGATTGGTAGGACGGCTACAAACATTCAATTAAACCACAAATATATCGACTTAGGGCTAATGCATTAGCGAAAAACGCTATCGAATTTGGCTTGGAAGAGCACGATTGTATATTAATTTTGATACAAATGGGTCCGGAAAATCGTAAAATAGCTGCTGAAAGTTTGTCCGCCAAAATTGTTAAATTGATAATTGCCATTTATAAATTTGGGCGAAGCAAACAAATGACAAAGTAACCCTACATGCAACCAATTATAAAACGTACAAAGGAAATATTGACAATCCAATTAAAATATGGCGGGAATACAACGAAAGGGCAATCTGGGTGAGTGTGAAAAAAATACATCATCAGCTTATTCCCTGATTTTAAAATCCGGCCATCCCCAACCTGAATTTACACAGTTAAAGAAAGAAAGTAAACCTGGAGAATCGAATGATATAATAAATACAGATGAATTACTTACACCAAATAAAAGGAAGGGGGCTTTTTCATATTGAGTAACAATATTATGCGCAGGCGCAGCGGGAAAAGAAGGGGATGGGGTTTAAATAAATACTATGTGCAATGCCCGGAGTAAACACCTCTCTTTTCCCCTCTTCGTTTTCTTTTTACTTTCTTTTATTTTTTTTGCAGAATAAATGCAGGCACCAACGGACAACCCACAGTCAACCCTCTTGACTTTGCACGATGCTATCACAGACTCACCTGTTTACAGGTCCTCTACTTTACATTTTGACGAACAGTTGGATTTATTAGAAAAATGGTTAGAGTCCTTGTCAAAGTATATGAAACAGTACGTCGACAAGTTAAATAGTAAGTAGTTGGCTCCATATTTATTGTGTTTTGTCATTACTAATCTCTTGTCATGTTAGAGTTTAATCTTGAAACCAACATTCTGTGCAAAAAAGTTATTCCTGTCGGTATTGACGATTCTATGATAGGTATTTATCAAAACAAAGACCGTAAAAGGAAGGCGATACTAATTTTTATGTTTAAGATCCAAATTTTACAGGAGCTGTTATTAAAAGCTTTTCTGATGCTTTACAGACTAGCTTAGCGTTCAAGACAAAATTGGTAAAAAGCAAAACCCGTACTATGCATATTGAGGCTAAGACTCTTTTTAGGTATCCGATCTTGAGGACAACTTTCTTCAGCCTTTACAAACGTTTGTAAAGACCCATTTGAAAGAATTTAAAGATTTTAGAAAGCAACATGAAAAGATACTGGAAAAATATGACGTACAACTTGTAAAATATACTTCACAGAGTAAATCAAAAGAAGCCTCGGCTGTAAGAGAAGAGGCGTTTAGATTATACGAGACAAGAAAAGCTTATGTTCGCATGTCCGGTCAGCACGTTGTACGTATCTTACACTTCCGTTCTTTATTAGAGCACTTCTTGGTTGAGAGGTTTTCCTTTGCTACTACTTCTCATCTCAAAGATTTTGAAGGAGGTTCTGACTCTTGGTCAAAGTTACAATCAAGCCTGACTGCTTGGAAACAATGGTTACTAGATGTATGACGGTTGTTGAATTTATATTTATTTTTGGACGCTAACTTATTTTGATAGGATAAAGACACTTGTAACTACCAATTACATCAGTTACAAGCTTCTCGCATATCACTGGAAAACAAAACATTGACAATTGCTCGACCCGCTCGTGACTTGGAAAAATATTCGCCGGCAAGTGCTTCTCAAACTGGATTAAATAATAGACACTCCTTGGATTACACTACTTCAGTTTTAAAGAACGGAAACCACCAAAGTCATAAATGGGGATATCTGTTTATACGAGGCGCAAGAAACTATTGGACTAGACGCTGGTTCTTCTTATATGATGGCTCATTCGGATCCTGTAATGTATCTACAAGACAAAAGGGTAATATTACAATGAATGATAGAGTTTCTGTATTATTGTGTGATATTAAGCCCTTGGCGGATATTGATCGTCGATTCTGTTTTGAGGTCATGTGTGCTCACCAGTAAGTTATGCTTAACCACGTGCTCTGAAAATTAATACTAATCGCAAAGAATCAGGCCTTCATTTGTTCTCCAGGCAGAGACAGAGAACGAAATGCGTGAATGGATGTCATCGTTTGAAAAAGCAAAGAGATTAATGCTTCAAACAGAGCAATTAGATTTTAAGAGTGGGACAGCTATGAGTACTGTTTCCGTTGTGGACACCGACTCTTCGTCACCAACACTCTTGGATAATGTTAGTAAATCAAAGCCTACGACCATGGTGGATGAGTTGCCTGTCATTTCAATTAACAATGCCTTGCCAAAGCCCAGTGAGGAAGAACTGAAAAGACCATCCATTGTTATGCTTTCGACTTCTCACAAGAGCGATTTGCAGTCATTTACTGAGCCAACTTCATTAACCCCTCTTCTTGTATGGGAGGCGTCACGTGCTTCCATGGGTGCTTCGAGTAATAATACAGCCCCATCTGTCCCTACTTCCCCTGTTTCACAATCTTTCTCTGCTGCTGCTGTTTCTTTGGATGCCACTTTAAATAACTATAGCGAAAAAGATGATTCGTCTACATTGAATGGATCTACAACTACTGCGACTACGACAAACAGTTCGTGGGGTATACCTTGGGCTTTAGTACCCAGTATGTTTCAAGGGAGCACGGATGATATAGCAAATGATTTAGCGCCTACACCGGGAGGATCACCTAACGTACCAGCTGTAACCGATGCTGATGGCCATCAAGTTATTTGGCCAACAAGAGTTGATGACTCAAACGTACCCAGGGTGGACTTAACTGGTTATACTCCTTGGTTAGATATTAGAAATAGAGAATTAAGACATTTATTTGGAGGTGTTGGCTCAAACGAAGTCGTTCTCAGTGGTAAGATACATTATACGTCATTTGACACGTACATTTATTTATTATGATTTTGAACAGCTTTTATTGGCCTGCTTAAAAAGAAGCCCTTGGACGAACGAGGTGATCTCAAAGATCCTGAAATGCCTGCATCACCAACAGTAGCGAATACTCCTATAGACAATCTGGAACAAGAATTCAATTCTCAATTGCCAAGCGCTGTAGAAGGACCATCGTCAACCTACGGATATTCTTACACTGGTCGTGGTTTTATTACACAGGAGACATTCTGGTTCTATAGTTGTGTACTGATGACATGCGTTAATACGGTAAGACATCAATTGAGATCTTTAGCTGACAAGAAAAAAAGCTAATAATTTGATAGGTTGCTATTCGTTTACGCGATATTAAAAAAATTCGTTTAATTCGCGATCCCTCGATTACAAACATTGGTACAAACTCTAATTTGGCCTTAGCTATTGATCTTGGTGGTAGCTCTGGTACTAATGATGAACAAAGTCCTTTGATTTTCACTACATTAATGGATGATATCGAAGTTGTTGCTGAAAAGCTTAAGTTCGCTGTTTCTAATGCAAAGAACCCTGAGGTGATTTATAAAGCCGATTTTTTTTTTCTTATAGATCGTTTAAACTAACCTACTTTTATATAGCCCGAATCGATCCAAATTACTTATGATGTGTTAAATAGTTTATCAGCTGCTGTAAACAAAAACAAGAATGCAAGTAATCAAAAAACTGTGATAAAAACATCTGCGCCTGTTCGATCTGCATCTGATATTACCAGTAATGGGTCGTCTAATGCTTTGCATTCGTCGTCTTCTGCTAGTTCTCTGTTGGAGCCTGCTCCTATAAAATCCACTGATCCGAAGAAGAAATCAAAAACACCCCGTAAGTATTCTGCTCCCGTTCAACCGAAATCTGGCGCTTTAGCTGCGGCTATGATGGCTGCTTCAGTTGCTGGTGGAAGTGGATTTTTAGATGCGAGAAAGGGAATTCAAGAAGAATCGAGAAACATCTTGCGTAATAAGAGATCCAAGGCCACCTTGGTTCCTCATGATGATGGTGATGTTCCCGTTCCTATGCCAAATTCTACACTTTCTTCAATGAATTCGTCGACTGTTAACATCCCTTCGAAGTTGGCGGATATTGTTACACTTGAAACAGCCACACCGAAAGTAGACGATCGTAAGTTTGCATAAACAAGCTTTTTTTTTTTTTTTTGTAACGTTTATTCATGAATCATATATAGCCCATGCGCCACCAGAGGATTTTAAACTACCAACGGGGCCTGTAAACTGTGGTTGTGACAACCACTTAGATAAATTGGAAGCAGAAATCGAAGTACCTATTTCCGCAAGACATTTGTACTATTTATTGTTTTCAGAGGACAACCCTAATTATCTCGATATCTGGGAAAAAAAGACAGTAGAAAATAAGTGTAGAGGTATGAACATTTGAGTCCTTTACAACAAACAATTGAGCTTACAACTATTTTGTTTTTTTATTAACAGAATTGACAATGACATCCTGGGAAACAGTAGATGGAAAGAGAGAACGTACATTAAAGTACATCATACCTGTTAACAATGCGATGGTGAAGCTAAAAGAAGCAGAAGTTGTTGAAAAACAAATCGTAGAGAAAAAAGAAGATTACCTGTAAGTTGGATATATGCTTTGTCAGAAAAAAAAACAAAGAGAGTCTAACATTTAGTTTTAGACGCTATATTGTTTTGACCTCGACAAAAACGGCTCAACTTCCATATGCTGATGCATTTGTACCTTATGTTAAGTATTGTATCACTTGGGTGAGCAAAAGCCAAAGTAAGCTTAGCTGTTATACAGGTGTCAAATTCTTGAAGAATATTCTTGTCAAGGGTATTGTTAACAAAGCAGCTATGAAGGGCATGTCAGAAAACATCGCGATTTTCGTCCCTATTGTTAAGGGGGAGGCTAATAAGCATACGCACAAAAAAAGACGCGGTAGTAAGGAAAAGGTTGATCAAGTCTCTACATTAAAACGTGGGGGAACAATCAGACGTCCTTCGTCTAAAGCCCTTGATGAGGGTGATAATGGTGCTCAGACTGACTCATCATCCGGTTGGTACAGTCACGTAGAGACAGTGATGGATCTGGTTCATGATTTCTCTGATGCTTTACCGATTGCGGCTAAAATCGGCGGTGCTGTCATTTTGGTGCTATGGATTATGTATAGTTGGTTACGTGCTGGTTCACGTCACGTAGTACACGATAAAGTAGCTGTCAAACAAAACTATGCTGAAGTAAGTTCGCGTGCTGTTTATTTACGTGACATCAACGAAGGCTTGTTAAATGCTGAAGCAAAACCAGCATATGGACATTCTGAAAGGTAAAAAAAAAAATGGTTGATAATTGCGTCTTTGCCAACTTTTTTTTTTTTCGATTAGTTTCCGCTTATTTTTAGAATCAAAGGTCGCCAACCGTACCCTTCGTTCAAACCATCAGTGGTATAGCGCACAGCATCATCAATTCGCTGTAGAGCTTTTATTTAGTCGAGAAAGATTAGCTATGCTTCGCCATGACACTTTGATCTTATTCCAGCTCGTCAATGAAGTAGATGCTCAATTATTGGAAAACGAATATACCAACTGGTTAATGGATACAAGACTTCAATGTAAATCACCAGAGGTCGACTATGACGGGCTTCATTGTGACGACGTTAAGCGTCAATTACGGGCCTTTCCTATTGACTCCTATCAAACAGTGTCATCATCAAAAAAACGTAACTAAATAAAAATGTGATTTAACCTTGCAAAAAAGCATCAGGTTATACCAATAAATTAATAACCAGAGTTCCTCCGTTGCAGTAAATGAACATACCACATGGTTTCTTATTAATATTTATACATTTTTATTCGAATTTACTAAATCTATCTATATCTAAAATCTGCGCTTAGCAGCTCTTCTTGCAACAGCAGCAGCCTGTTGTCTTTCACGGATGGCACGTTCTTTATCTAACTTATCATGATGCTTTTGTTGATCCTTAAAATTCTCCATGAAACCCTTGGTATTTTTTTGGAGTTCTTCAGGCTTCTTTACGAGCTTGGGGATATTTAAGACGCTACGGACAGCAGGGTTTTTTAATGCAAGAATTTGACCGATAGAGAAGAAATTAGATGTGACCCAGTAAACAAATACACCCTAATAATAAAATATGTTTAGCTGATAGTATATCAAACATAAAAATAACACTTACACTAGGCATCCAAGCAGTAAAAGGAACCATAACAAGAGTAAGAGCACGGAAGACATTCTTCATACCTTTACTTTGAGGATTAGCAGCACCAGCTTCGGTACCAGCTTCTAAAACAAGCATAACACCAGCAGCACTGACGACTGGAAGAATATAATAGGGATCCTTTTCGGCCAAGTTAGTGAACCACAAAATACCCTCATCGGTTAATCCAGGTACAGGCAACTCAGCCATACCACGAATGGCCATGAAGAAAGAAATCATGACAGGCATTTGAATAAGAGGGAGACCCATAGATTTCATAGGATGACAGTCATTCTTTTTAAAAAGTGTTTGGATCTCTTGTGTATACTTTCCGGTAGCTAATGAATCGCCTTGAGCTTGAGCTGACTTTAAGTTCTCCATGATACGGTTGACATCTGGGTTGATATTCATCAATTTAGCATTATTTCTTTGGATCTTGATCATTAAAGGTAAAAGAGCAACACGAACAGCAACAGTAGCCAAGGCAATAGTTCCCCACCATGGTAATCCACTAGCAACATGAATATATTCAAACATAGCCTCTAAACCACCAACAGGTGTCATATTACATAAGCCAAGGGCTTTAAAATCACCGATTTGAGCTGCTGCCTGAACAAGTGCCTCTGGTGAAGTGGTTTGAGCTGCTTGTTGAACAATTTCGTTAGCTGTATCCATGACTTTGGGTGTTTCAGTGACAGTTTCTTCGGTACTCAAATGGCGAACGCCGATATGGCCCATAAGAGTGGCATTTCCCAACATGCGAGCGCCTTGCGATTTGCCAGCTCTTTGAGCAATGACACTTAAAGGTTGAATTCTAGCACGGGTCATCAAGCCAGTTGATAACTAATAATTTAAACTTAATTATATTGGTACTGTCAGAAAGGGTGTTGTTCCTTACCATACGACTGGGTTGTGCTTGGTTTCCAATACGAGTCAACGTACTAAATAAACAATTAGCTACTCATATTAATTATTTCTAAATTTTACAAGTCAAGCTAATACTTCTTTGAAACTAATCTTGTGAACATGCTGTTTATATGTGTTAACCTTCAAAAGCTTGACAAAAAGAGAATACTAGGGTCGAAATGTAAAAATAAAATAAAAAACCCCAAAGCAAGTCACATGCGATTGGCTCCAAATGTAGAAACTGCCCTGTATTTATATATTTTGACATAACAATTTATTTTTTCTTCCTTTTTTTCTTCACCTAAATATGTTTTCTACTATTTCTCGTCAAATCGCAAGAAACTTGCACTCTTATCAAAAGAGTATTATCTCTAAGCCATTTTCACAATATGAAAAACCTATTGTCACTTTAAAGTTTGGTAAGTCTTTTTTGACTATCTGGACCTAGGGTAAACCTATTAATGGAAATATAGGACAAAATAGATTTTATACTGCTCAAGTAAAGACTGCCGATTTCGAAGCTAAATATGCTGATAAAATTAAGGAGATCGCCAAAAGGTTTGTGAAAATAATAGCCTTTGCAGAAAGTAAACTAATGTGAACTATGAACAGAGAAGGTATCACAGTTGATCAATTAAAGCAAAAGATTAAGGAAGAAGCAGAAAAGAAATTAAAGGCTGCTAGACCTAAAAAGGTTGAGCCCAAGATCGTTGCAAACACCACCAAAAAGGCATCAGCTTCAACTATTGCAGCAAAAGCCCAATTGCCTTATGACTCTTCTGCTCCCGTATGTAGACGAGACATATTTCGCATATGCGTGTATTAATCAGTCGTTTCCTATAGACTTTAGATAAACTTGTAAAGCTCGAGTTACTCGAGAATGAAACACCAGAAAAGATTGCTCAAATTTGGAATGCAGGTCATGCAAATAAGGATTGTATCACAGCTGCTATTCCTAGTGACATTTACGAAAAACTCTATAAGCGTAGTCAGGAGTATCCTATTGTAAGCACAACAGCAACAACAAAATATTAAGCAGTAATGTAACAGTTTTCTCATAGTTTGTCGTCCCCATGCCTCGTGAAGAAGGCGTCGAATTCTTTTTCCTTCAATTCAGCTTCCACCAGTGTAATTTCACCTCGCTTTTGGAATATAAGACAAAGGGTTCTGAAGCCAGACCTTTCCTTACATTAACCCATTTCCCCGAGCTTCAAAAATCAAAGGGTATTGTCTTGATGAAGGGTGATATTAACGATGATCCTCGCATGTTAACTACCGCCAACGCACAATTCTTGACTTTTGCTCTTCAACAGTTCTATGTCACTGGTGGTGAAGAGAAGTTGAAGCTTGTGGAGAAATTCCACAAGTCTCCTGCCGATTTTGATTTCCAACAACTCATTGAAGCTGTTGAGAAAGTTGTTTAAATAAAAAACTTTAGTGACTGTCTTCTTGTTAAAGTATAAAAAGGATTGGCGTTTTATTTTGTCAGATTTTAGAGATTTCCTTAACAATGTCGTTTGTTCAACAAAGAGAGAGACGTCCCAATGCTGGAAGTCGGTAATGTTGTAATGAGGGATTATTAAAATGCAACCTTTTTCGAACTGTTTTTTCTCGGTTGTGTAGTATGCGTGCACTTCTCGATCAAGAAGTTGATATGGAAGAATTGTTTGAATATAATGAAAGCGACGATGACGATGAATTTTCAACAAAAGGTAAAAAACCTATAGACATTCTTTCGACTGGAGCATTAAATTTTAAGATAGTGATTGAGGAGGAGGAGGACAAAGTGGATTCGGATTTTGATCTTGACTCTTCCGAAGGAGAACAGGAATACATCAATGAAGGCGAAGCCTTGGACAAGCAAATCGCTAAGGCTGAGAAAAAGGTACGCTAATCGATGCTTATGATTATACAGCACTGACCCCTCTAACTAGGCTCGCAGGACTGCATATAATCCACCTTCAGCTACGACTATTAAAAAACCGATAGAAAGAAAAACAAAAAAAACCAGTATGATGGATTTGGGTTTTGATATGGAACGTAATACCCGACATTCTTCCAGAAAAAACACGATGCTGAACAGAATGCTTGTGGAGGACCAAATCAGAGAGCAGAATAAGAGAAAGGTATTTCGTAAATGAATATAAAAAAGGAGGGATTGGAGAACTTATGAAGTTAAGTTTAGGCATTGCATCATAAAAAAGATAAGCCAATTATCAATAAATTGACACAAGAAGAACTACTAGCAGAAGCAGCCATTACGGAGGAGAGAAATAAGCATTCGCTATTAGAATGGCAACAAAAAGAAGCCGAACGTAAGGAAAATGCGAAAAAGAAGGATAAACAGTTTATCACTGGGTCCTTTGTGCGATACTATTCATTTGCAGACGGAATCTCCCAAGACCGACCTAAAATGCGAAAGTTAGTACTACTGACATCTGATCAAGAGGGTAATACAGAATCCGAATGTATTACGGATAAAGCTGCTGTTGATTGGCAGATTAATAAGGATATAAATGATAGCGATTTGATGGGAAGAAACCTTATTACATTTGTGGAGAATGGCACAACTCCGAAAGAGAACCAGATCTTTGAAAAACCTGGGGAAACGGAGAAAGATTTAGATCATGTAGATTTGATAAGCCAATTATCAGGTTGGTTGGAAAAGACGCCCAAACCAAATAAACCTATACTATGTCCAATTACTGGTGAAATTGCAAAATACCGTGATCCAAGTACTGGTGTACCATTTTCTAATATACAAGCATACCTTGTATTAAAGTCATGCTTAAACCATGAATTAAACTGGTCTTCATCTTCTGGATTATATCTGGGTAATTTACCCAGTGCCAATGGTGTACCAAAAGGGTGGGGTTCAACCAATTAAAAAGGAACCTTAAAAATACAATGGGAATATGTCTGATTGTTATTATACCCTATTTGTTTAGCTTTTCTCTTTTAATGCACCTCTATGAATATAAATAAAGCATTACGTAAACCTACATTAATCATCCATTAGCGTATCTATCAAAGACAATTTTAGAGTTAGAGATTACATATCTTTGTGATCCATGCCTGCCAAATAGAATATGAATCAACACAAAAATTAGTTGTATACAACTCAATATCCCTCTTCTATTGGATAGTATCAAGTTAGTCACTGGACAACGAATTATTCTCCGGTATTTTCGGTTACACTGAATTGCTATTGAAAGCTAAAAAGTGTGGAGATTGACTCACATGATCTGCGATTAGTGGAAAAAGGATACGCATATTAGCTGCAACAGCAAAACGCATATATAAGGGCATCCCAATTAAACCTTTTATTTTTTTCCGTACTCCTTTTTCTTTTCTTTTTCTTCTTAATTTTGAGTTTTATCATATGACGGAAGTTAAGCAGGAGACAAAGCATTTTGAAAAGCAAGATATTTCCGAAATTGATGATGTCGAACACTCTATTGAAAGTGAAATATCAGGTTTCATAGCGCCTACAGCTGCTGAAGAAAAGGCTGTTATGTGGAAATTGGATCGTCGTATCATCCCTTTCCTTGGTCTTTTGTATCTTTGTTCTTTCTTGGATCGTGTTAATATCGGCAATGCTAAGTTGGCTGGTATAACCAAAGATCTTAGTATCAGTTCTGGTGACTATAATATTGCTTTGTCTCTTTTCTTTGTTGGATATGTAAGTTTCAAGATAGATAAATTGATAACATGCTGACACATTGATTTACTAGGTCCTTTTCGAAGTTCCATCCAACATGATCTTAAAGTTTATTGGCCCTAGTAAATGGATTCCAATTGTTATGATTGCATGGGGAACTGTTATGGCTGCCATGGCCGCATGTACCAACACTGCTGGGCTTTTAGCAGCACGATTTTTCTTGGGGCTTACCGAAGCCGGTTTATTCCCAGGTGTCATTTTCTATCTCACATTGTGGTATAAAAGAGGCGAACAAGCAACTCGTGTAGCCTTTTTTTTCTCATGTTCAACCTTGGCTGGTGTAAGTTAATTTGAACTCACGTTACAATTATGTCCAAATTCACTAAATTTATTTCTCTACAATAGGCCTTTGGTGGTGTTTTGGTATGATGACAAAATATTTTCACTGTGCACAAATTAATAACTCTAAACTCTTAAATTTTTTTTTCACAGGCTTACGGTATCATGCAAATGGAAGGTGTTCGAGGTCTTCATGGTTGGCAATGGATTTTTATTCTTGAATCTATTCCTACTCTTTTTTTTGCCTTTGTTTCTTACTTTTACCTTCCAGATTTTCCTGAAAACTCTAAGTGTAAGTTACGAAAAACTGAAGATTTTAGTCATAATAATAATTTTTCTTCTTAGTTATTAATGATCGCGAGCGTGATATTGTCATCCATCGTCTCAGAGAAGATGCAGGCCCATCCGTTGAGACTCACTTTTCTTGGAAGCAGTTTCGTGCAGCCTTCACTGATTACAGAGTTTACGTTCATGCCTTGATTTATATCTGTGGTGCCACTCCCCTTTATAGTTTAAGTTTATTCTTACCCAGCATTATTTCAGAAATGGGTTTCACCAGTCTTACTGCGCAAGTCATGTCAGCTCCCCCTTATGCTATTGGTAACTATTGGCAAACAAAATTACTATACATGTCAGCTAACAAATATACTTATCATTTTATAGCTTGTGTATTTACTATCGTTGTTGCCATGCATGCAGATAAAAAGAGAGAACGTGGTTTGCATGTTGCATTACCTGCTCTCCTTGGTGCTATCGGTTATGCCCTTCTTGTTGGACTCAAGGACGCCGGACCTGCCGGTAGATATGTCGCTGCGTGTATCACTGTTACTGGTGTATTCGGACATATTCCTGCAATGTTATCATGGTTCACAAGTAACATTGGTGGTCATACAAAGCGTGGTGCTGCTGTGGCATTTATTATTTCTATTGGTAACATTGGTGGTATTATTGGTGGTCAAATGTACAGAGCTGAAGATGCACCAAAATATGTTATCGGTAATGCTGCGGCTTTAGGTCTTATGGTTGCTGTCTTTCTCATCTCTCTTGGTTTGAAATACGATTTGGATAGAGAAAACGCTAGACGCGACAATCTTACCGAGGAAGAATTTAACCAAGAAGCAGAAGGCGATGACCTCTGCGATAAACATCCTGCTTTCAGATACTTGTCTTAAGTCTACGGTTGTAACTAATTATTACCCTACCCCCTATACATATTTTCCATCATTATTTTCTCTTATCCAACACCCCCCTTGTAAAAATATACAAGTGATGTATTTTAATAAAAAACCTAGAATATATATATATATGATTTAATAAGTTTAAGACATGTTTCTATCTGTTTGCTGAGAAACTCTCTATTTCCCTTTAGCTGATCAAAATGGGTCTTTAACTATTATTAGCTATCCAAAGCCAATGTCAGAAGTTAATCTTTTCCCACCAGCTGAACATATTCTCTTCTTGGAATTACGGAATCAGCCTAATTAAGTTGAACGTATCATGAGAACATTATTCTGTTTGATAGTAGCAGATCGTCAAGTTTGAACATGTATATACGAACTGTCACACCGTAAATAGTGCTTCTGTTGTTGTTTTCCAAGTTTAGAATTGTGGTTCACGTAAGACAATCAGCTGATTACCACAATGAGGATAGTTGTAATTTATAAAAATTCAGCCAATGAGTGACGTATTACTCCTTTATTTTTTATGATGAGTCATTTTTCTCGCTTCGTTTGTTTATTATTCAGTTCCTTTTGCTCTTGCCATAAACAATATCACAAAGGTCTAATAAGATCATTGGATATAAGCATGTGTATGTGTATTTATTACATTCTAAAAACGTTGTTCCACAACGAGTATATAAACGCCTCAAATTATTTTACAAAGATGACGTGCCTTATATTATAGTTTGTTCAGAATGAGTGTAGTAGTTTCAAATAATAATGACGATGAAATAAACCCGCTAGTTGTTTACTTTATCGGACAAAATGTAAGAAAATGAATTTTCGGACAAACATTGCTCTTTTTTTTTTACTTGTAATGATCTCAATCCTTACTCAAAAGGAAACCATGTTTAATACGGCGATACTATAATGATAACATATTAGGCTTATTGTTTAGTCTTTTTGGGTTCAAAAGCCTCTGGTCTTCCTTCGCCTGACCAAATCGCCTTTGATATTATCATCATATTTCCGGCAGCATTCACGTCGCTTTGCCACACCTCTTGACATTTTGGCAGCAAAGAACTCCAATGCCCTTGAAGCCGAGAATTTCAATCACCTTCAAGGTATCAAAATAACATTGACTGCATACTTTGGATGTTTTATATTCGTCAATCGTGATAGCGATCAATTCACATGCAGCTTCGCGTTTTTTTAATGATCTCCACATAACCCCAGTCACGCCACACTCAAGACGCTTCAGCTTAACCAGGTCTTTTCCAAACATTCCTGTCCCAAAGACTACCAGCGGAACCTTAGACTTATCTTCTTTATACGGAAGTGGTTTCCACTTATTTGGCCTTTACGAACAAAAGGATTAACCGTAACAAAAAAAAATATTGGTTACTTACTTACTATCCGTCGCATTTTTCTTATCAACCTTAAAATCTTTCTTCGCTTTTTTATTTTCTTCCTGTCTCTTTTACATTTGTTATGCTTTGAAGTACCGTGTACCAAAATGTTCACCATCGCTTCAGCAGCTCACTGTCTTCCTTGATATAGAAAAAATCTGTCTTTTTTTATACCAAATCCATGGAAATTTAAAAGGACATTCAGGTGACTGAAAATGCGTTGGATATAATCTGTATGTATTAACATGTGCAGTTTTTGTTGTAGGCGTCTCAGTCTCAATCGCCTCTGCCCCATTCTCTTGCTTTCTCCGCAATAGCCTTTTTTTGGTATAAAGGACTACCCGTTAAGTGGTAATACTACTTAATAGTACAACGAAGCATAGTATGTTTTTCCCGATCTAAACCCTCCACGGCCTTGAACACGGCCTTTCTACCTGGATCCAAAAAAACTGGTCGAAATACATTCTTCATTGCTTCAAAATTAAAATCCGTGAGTTAAAGCTGTAGTTTACCAAGTTACTGTTCCTCCCTTCCTTTCTTCTTCTGTAGAACACGCAATCCACATCGAAGCCATTCGACCTTATTAATAGTCCAAATAGAACAGTACCATCCCTATTTGGAAGGAGATCATTACTAGTTTGTGTATGTAAAAAAGAAAAGAAGTTAGGAACAAGTTATTAACTCACTTAATCGTGAGGCACATACCTTGAAATCGAAGTTTATCAAAGTTAAGCACTCGACAAAATACATCAAGTAACTCTTTGTACCTATTAGGTTCGATATTGATAAGAATGAACATATAGCACTTATTTTTAAAGAAATGGATTTGAAGTGCATAAAAGGGTTGGGAACAAAATAAATCTACGTGGTACGAGACGGCATTTTTCATTTGAAGGTTTTTCTTCTGAAGGGGTTTCTTCTGAAGGGGTTTCTTCTGAAGGGGTTTCTTCTGAAATTTCACTTGCACTTTCATAGGATGACAGGATAAAAGCTAAAAATGGGATGAAGCTTTCTGAAGATTTTGATAGGGTGACCAAAGTAACTTTTGTGGGTAGCTGCTTCTTTAGAGACAGGCATACTTCTTGAATTTTCACCTTTTGGCCCTTCACTCAGTGCGAGTCGCACAAAAAGTGCTAAAACCAAAAAGGAATATGTCAGCTCGTTCCCTTTTTGGAAGATTTGAGAAAAAAAAAGCCAAGATTTTCAACTGGTTGTGTACGTCTTGTAGGCTGAGCAGCAGATATATATAGTAATACAGAATCTAATGAATGTCACAATTGCATCCTGTCATAATTTTAGGGCTCTTAACTAAAAATAAAAAAAACAAGGGAACTGTGTTAAAGATTTATGCAAACGCCGCGTTTGAACAATAACTACATCCATTACTCCGGTATATAAGGAGTAAGACATTAGAAGCAACATTTTTTAATACCTCCCCCACCACCATCACTCATATTCGTTGTAATTAATACATGCTGTGACGAACTTACAAAGAATTGATAAATAAATTAAAAATTGATGGGGTGCATGTCTACGATATAAAAATACATATGTGATACGAATAAACGAGTCTTGGTAACACCAGCAGAAGTTAATAACAAATATCAGTTAGAGCGAGCCTTGGCTCACTTTTTTTGCTTGAATTAATTTGAATAAACCATTTGCACACCTCGTCAATACAAATGCAAGTTTGTAAACTCTGAAAAAAAAATAGTAAACATATTAAGAAAAATTTACTCCTTTATTTAGTTATGAAAGTCAATTATATTAAGTGCATGTATGTTTGTACCAAAATAACTTATTCTTTCCATATTAGACTAAATAGCGCTTTCATGCTAGTGGTTCAAATGTATTAACGAACAAATAATTACTACTAAAAAATAGTACATTATTAGAAGTCGCAGACCCCTAATAATAACTCTATTATTTTTTATTGTTTGGTTTTTAAAATATGATAGATACATCTTTTGTTGAAAAAAAAAGATAAAATGGTTTGTGGGAAGAGGGGCTAATGAGTAATAAACAGGACAAAGAAAAGAGGATGATAGATATATATAGACAGGATACAAATTTAAAAGGATTGGGTGTTGTGGTTTGGTAATAATTTAGAGTTCATACCAGGAGATTTTGCCTACACCGATATTCATGTTACCAATAACTTGCTTGAAGAGAATAGGAGTAAGATCAAGATCACCATGCTTACATTCGGGACAAGCATCGTTCACAGTAGCAGTAACGCTACCCTTAGGACCAGTAATCTTGATCTTCTTACCACACCATGAAGACTTTCCGTTCATATTTCCGTATTGAGGGGCATTTAAAGCGACAATAGGAGAATCATTATCTTCTTCAGGTCCACATGCGCCTTGAGAACCACCCTCGGTGGCGGGTAAAAACCAGGTGGCAGTTCCTGTGAATGTACCACTTGATGAGCCAGTGCTGGTGGCAGCCTTCTTGGTAGTAGTAGTGGTCTTTTTGGTGGTGGTCTTTTTGGTGGTGGTCTTCTTAGTAGTGGTCTTCTTAGTGGTGGTCTTCTTAGTGGTGGTCTTCTTGCTTTTCTTGCTCTTCTTGTGCTTCTTGCGCTTTTCTAATGTGATGTTGGAAACAGTTTTTTCAATAGGTGATGCTAATGCGTTGCTGTCAACAGGTGCTGCTACGGATAAAGCGCTGAGTGCGAGGACAACAGCGGTGAATAAAGAAAGAGTGCGTGACATTTTTAAAGAAAAGTGTAGATATAAACGGCCAGCGTTAGAATAGGAGTGAAAAAAAAAGGAAGTTGATAATTTTTATGAATTGGAAAGCTATGGAAAATGTCGCTTTATTTATACAATTCAGAATTTTTCCTAAAATATTGAGGACTCCCGCCGCCCTCCGGTCATATTGCACAAAAGAGTAACTGTACACGAAGCTCATTAGAACGGAGAATAGACTTGATTGCCTATCCAATGATCCGATATAACACGCAATGTTCAGGCACCCAGACTTTAAAATTACAAGATCATTAAGGTCATTTCCTTTTATATATTTAAAGTGCGCCATATTGAATTGTAAGCTTTGACCACATCTGCTTTTTTTCTTAGTTCTTTCTTTTATGTTTGTATGTAGTGTCAATAAATATGCGTACTTCATATACCCCTTTGTGTACAGGGAAATAAATGACACGCTTAATAATCGGTGACATTTACGCTTACTTTTTGTGATGGGGTAGGGACCGTATTTTAAACAAAATCTCCGCTAAATTTCAAGCTGTCTCGAAACAAAATCAATTGTCCCCGATTTAGCCTAAAAACGATATAGAACGACGTGGAAAATGACAATAATTTGCATAAAGGTGGAATACACACGATACGATCAATATTGAATAATTTGCGTTACCTTCCTAATCAGGCTCTCCGTTTCTTTTCTTGGATGCTTTTCGGACAGAATTAGATGTATTAATTGGCTATGATGAGCGTAGTTCATCGTACAAACCATCACTTGATGTTATAAATTGAAAAAAAGTAAATTGGTCTCCGAATCAAATCAAAATAGGCTTAATAATTTTTTTAGAATCAACAATCTAGACAATAGGTACTGTCAAAAGTATGCCTTCTTTTTTTAATATTTTTACATGCAGAAGACAGAAACCCCTTGATTTTTATATTTCCTGTCTAAATACCAGCAGTTTGAATGGCTCTATCAGATGTAACCCTTAAATTTGGAGGCAGCCTTTGACAGCATGCATAAGGGTAAAAGAAAAAGAAAAGAAGCCTTACTTTTGAACATACAAACATCGTTGCAGAAATTATGTGTACATCCTCGTGTTGTACAATTCTTTCCGAAATCTAGATGGGAACACATTCGCTTTCAGCGCACGGCTGTAAAAGTTCTCAAAATGTGTTTGTGGTGGCAGGTCGGTCATCACAAAAAAAAATTAAATTGAGGAACTTGCTTGCAAACTTTAATTGAACGTATTACTGTCGGTTTTAATAAAACAAATAGCCCAGGTAGTTGATCGGGTCGCGGAACATGCCCCCTTTTTTTTTAGGCCAGTACCGGATTTCTTTATTGTTTATAAATTCATTTAATAGTACATGCTGTCATCACAGAAATTACTAATTTGCTTTAGCGCAGGGGCTTTTGCCATAAGCGCCTTGTGTCAGGGCTGTCTTGTAAAAACATGTCAAGCTAGCTTGTTCGAATGCTACAGCTAAAATGATGTTTATTTCTCTCGAAAAAATAAAGTTTATAGATCACATTTTCAGCAGGCGAAGCAAAAGTATTAATTTTGTTTTTTTTTTTGGGTAAATAACTCAGAGTGACGGAAACATCATCTCAAACTTGAACACCCGCATTTCCTCTCTTTGCCAAACGGTGCTCGCATCAACCCCTTACAGATAGCCAAACTTGACATAATGCCGACGTGTGTAACTTTATACTGGGTAACTTTGGAACTGTATGTGGTAATCATAATCTTTTCTTTTTCGTGATACAGCACCGCCAGTAAAAAATGCTGGTACTCGAAACTTATCACGGCAGACTACAAAAATGAAATATCACAACAATTAGTAACACAAACCATGCAACTCGGTCTAAATTTTGGTATGCCTTTTTAGATCCGAAGATAAATCCGGTGGGATTTCTTGTGCTCCATAAAGACAGGCGCTGTATTTCTGCGTTTCAAAAATTGGATCGTTTCTTCAGGTCGTTTTGCACTTGCAGCTTTCTACAACTATTGTTACGTAGAGTAAATCTGCTTTACTAACAATTGAAGATCTAAGTAATCTATACAAAATTTGAAACATAGGTATCCTAATAAGATATACCCGTCAAAGCAGTGTACCTCTACAAAAATACTATTGTAATCCTCTTTCAGTGGCCCGTGTTACAACCTAATCAAAGATATTGTATAAGTGTAATCACTTCACTTGATTATAGCCGAAAACAATTAAACTCTTACCACATTGAATTACTTGAAAAACTTGAGTATGCTGTCGCATAGCAGGAAGCCCAGCATCTGACAGACGAGGAAATTCTATCTAACACCTTTTTGTTTTTACTGTATTTATAATTATTAATAAACGACCTTTATATCATGATAATTGCAGTATACTTATTAAGAAAAGCATAATATCCCGGTGTATCTACTAGCAAATCAACCTTTTAAAACGTATGTCTAACACTAAATATACAGGATGTTTAACCAATATATATATATTACCCAACGAATACTACTGTTAAATACCATAAACATTAGATTATGACAAAGACTGAAGCTTCAAGTTGCACAACTATGAGCCTTACGATAAAAGCTTTTAGTTTCTTCAATTGTTAACGTAGTTGGTCACTGAGAAATGCGAAATTCGAAATATAAAATAACGAATTAAGAATAAAAATAAACTAAAGTCATTATTATACAATAAATTGGGTTGTTTATATACATATTCAGGGCTGGCTGAATGTCAATCATTAAAGTGAAACCTGTCAAATATACAATATGCGTGTTGTCAGTTGAAAATCAAGCACTGCATGGTACCTTCAAGAATCTTGTCATTGACGAGCGATCATATCATTGGATTGTATTATCTGGAATAAATGTATGGCTTATGTTTTCTATATATTGATGAGCAATCAATGTGTAGTAATAGAGTGTAATAGTATGTTTTTGATTTAAAGAGTAATGCAATAATGATTTATAAAAAAGTTATCAAAAAAGAAAGAATTGATGATAGAGATATATCTATATATAAGCTCGATCACAACAGTCATTTGATGCTCTTTGAGTTCATATTTAGTTTTACGTCGGCGATATATAGTTATTAATTTCAAATTGTTCGCTTTCGTAATCTCTGTCAATTCAGGTGATATATACAGAGAGAATCATGGGTGATTTGTTATTTCTTTGAATCCATGAAATTAACCAATTAAAAGCGTAGGTGCTCTATACACCGAATAGTCCAAATAATCTTCACTATTTGGGTTTGATGAATTGGTTTTTGGAATAACGTGTTGTTTTACTAGTTTTTTAATGAATGAATGATAAGGTTTAATACTGGACATACTATTCATCATAGTTTATGGGTCTGTACTAAAATAAGAGTAAGCTTATGCCTATTGATTCCTAAAATTCTGTTAATATCTCTGGATTAGTGCCTGTAAAATATACATTATTCAGATCGTATCATTTAGCTCTTTATTTTTATTTTGTGCTACTGAGCTATTTTATTATTAAAAAAACACAAAAAAACCTTTCGTTAGTTAAAGTATGATAGCTTCCTATTCCTATACAAAGTGAATAGTCAGTTTTCTAAAGGTAACATTTGTCCTAAAATCACGTTCTCAATTGTAAATTTCAGTAGAAGAACTAATTAGAAAAGGTTTCTTAACTATCTATCTTTACATTGTTCTGTAAAATTACCTCTTAAAACTGGGTCTTAGTTTCTTCTGCAGCAAAATCGAGCTAAAACATAAATTGTTACTATTCTTTTAAAAAAATTCATCGTGTTGAACTAGCCTATCAAATACCGCAAGTTGCAATTCTACATCCTACTTTAACAGCTGCGTTTAACAATTATAATATGGTAAATATATCAACAGACTAAGCACATAGCAAAATATACATTTATCTATCCTTCAAAAAAAAACTCTAATTGACTTTTAAAGATTTTATGAACTTGAGTTTAGTGAATCATACATTACTAACTTGACCACAAATTAAAAAAAATGAACATTATCAATAAAAATAGATTTGTGGCTGGAGACTTAAAATGAGAATGTGTTTTAAGGCGTTCTGGATAGCCAACACCATCAATATCTTCCACCTTGGGTATAGGATGTCATTTAGCTAGCAACGCATTTACTGTTTAACGACACGGAGGTGTCTGAAAATTGAAATTTTTTGTGGTCTATTGTCTAATTGGTCTAAGTACTTTTTGGTTCTAGATTTCATTTTGTCTGAAAATTTTCTATTTATACTATCGTTTGTCGTCTACCCAATTTAAAGGGCTAATATAAATAAATCACGTCATTGGTAAATATTTCAGCGGATTTTTTTTTAGGGCCTAAGCTTCGTACAACCGCATTTACCAATCAAAAGGTTAGGTCTAGAACACATTTAAATATGTTGCTACTATATATCGTGCCAACATACACTCTTGCTTCATGATAGATAACAATTGCTAAAAAAAATACAAGACTGACAGTGCTTCAATCCAGCTAAATGTGGTACCAAAACAAAATTAATTTAATTTAATTTAATTTGGGCTGCCCCAGTTACTTTGTAGGCATACCTGCTTGTGCTTGAATGAGTTTTAAAAACCGTAATTCCTGCAATTATAATGCTAGAATACGCTTTTTTATAAATACTACCATTTTAATTTCAGATAGTGTAAATATTTTTCTGAATGAATCAAAATCAATTCATAGACGTTTGGCGTACCTTTTTTGGAAAAAGTAAAACGGAAATCAGATCAATGTCAGTTTTTTGTTTACTTATTTTTTATGGAGTCATAGAAAAAAGAATTGAGAAGACTTCTTACCTGTAAAATGTTTTTGCCATAGACTCACAGGAGTAATCAGAGGCAACCACATTCTTGGTGGCGCTTTGTCTTTTAAAGACAGTAGGGCGATCTTTACAAGTCCCAATGGACTGGGCAGTGGTAAACATTTTCTTGGAGGCCAAGACATGTCGATTTCAGAAAATATTGCTAAGTTTTGCACTTCAATACTTAATATACTCCTCTGTCACTTTACTTTGGATTCTCTGGTCTATTGCTAAAGCACGAATTGCAATTCTAAAAGGAAGGTTTTTTGGTCAGTATAATTTTATAGAGGTACCCATTGCTATACTTATCTTTGACGTTTTGAACTCGTTTATGTTTAAAACTAACAATTCACCAATCTTTTCTCGTGACTTCAGTTTCTTGTAAAACTTGTCAGCTATACCAGTATGTAAATCTCTATATTTCACTTGGCGTGGATTTTCCAACCTATCCCCGAAGACGATCTACGGCATCTTGTGAGTATCACCTTCTTGAAACATTACCTTATGACTCCTTCTTCCGTAAGGATTTCTTTTAGCATGATATGCAATATGACAATTGTATTCACAGGTTTTTATACCTTGCTATTATCCTGAGCTTTTCTCTTGTCATGCGATTCTTTAGCTATACAATTAGAGGGCCTATAAATCCATGCACTGCATCTTTGACTTCTTGACTTAATGAGGTAAGAATACTTTTAGCTACCATTCCAACAGGATAAAATGATAGCACTTAATTTAAATAATATGTCCATACACGAGGCGTTTGATAACAGAAATTTTATGATCTTCTTCTGTGAGTATCTTAACATCTTGTAAATTTACACTCTAGTTTACAACTTACTAAAAAATTGAAAACTATGATTTCAAAGCTTCCAATGTAATAACTGTTGTAACAAGTAGCCGTAGTTTCGCACGCACTTGAGAGGACTTGACCATAGTTAGTTAAGCCTTCTTTTTCTACAGTCAACCTTTGAAAGCCGTTAAGTTCCATCCACAAGCCATTAAAATGTTGAACGTGTGTATGCTTGTTTTAGAATTTTTGCACCGGCAGTTTTTTACAAAGTATTGTGCATAATGAGTACCAGAAATTTTGTTTTATTTCATGCCTATACAGTCCACCATTACCTATTTTTCCAATAGACTTTGTACTTGCATTATTATCAGTTTTTTTCTGTGACTTTGTGTACTTTCCTAACTCTTTGGAATGTACGAATTTTCCAACAGCTGGATAGATAAGGTAAAGGCCAAATGAGAAGTTGAAAGTAAACCATAACACACATATATTGTTTTACCGTATGCTGGTTGTAATATATTGTATCTAGGTAAAGACGATAAGTTATACTGACCTCTTAGTGTCTATTAAAGTATCATAACTCAACATTAAGACTACGCGCATCCTGGCTGTCCCTTTGAGTACAATTTTGGGGCCGGAAAAAAGTTGGTGTTGTAATACCTGTAACACAGTCCTTTTTTTCTTTGCCAATAAAAAAAAGTAACATACTGCAATGACTAGTTTATTAACTTAATGAAATTGAAGAAATTGCCCTGACCTTTGATCAAAGTATTTAAGTAATTTAAAGTCAAAGCTACATGTCAACAAAAACTGTATAAAAAAAGTTACAAATGTTTTATTTTTGTTGTGAAAGGGAGTTCATTACATGATAAATTATTTTAACCTCTACAACGCCTACAATACCATTCTTCAACTTGATCACTTTCTGCTATACCAACACAACTTCCATGAAACCATATACTACATCGATCACAAGCGATCATAAAAGTTCCATAATCTACTGTAGGATTTTCACAAATACAACGTATTTCTTCTGCACTATAGCCGTTATGTGACAGTGAGAAATTGGATTGTTGTGTCGAAGGCGGCGGTGGTGGGGGTACTGTTCTAGGAATGGGCGAGGACAACATGGGTTGTTGTTTTTCTAATTTGATAGGCACATCTTTTTGCTTTTGTTGCTGGTATTGTTGAAGTGAAATGGTGGATTTGGGTGTCGTAGATGTGGAGGCGCCAGCAGAAGCAGACGCAGCAGAAGCTGGTTGCTGTTCTGGAGGCTTAATTTTGAATCGGATTTTTGGGGTATTTGGTGAGGATACATCTTCTGTAATTGTAGGCGGCGGTAAAGAAGCAAAATTTAGCATTAATTTGGGTCCCTTTGATTTTTGTTTCTTCTTTTCTTTTTCTAGTGGAGATAAAGTAGACGAGGAAGCGGAGGAGGAGGAGAAAGAAGACAAAGAGATTGGGCCAATTGGTTTCGGAAGTGCAGAATTATTAATAGGTGCAGCAGCATGATTAGTGGTGGTGGGTGTGGATTTTAAAATAGGGGGAGCGACTGCGTGTTGTTTATGTGTCTGTGTCTGTTCCTGTACCGGCGCTGATTGTGGCGGTGTTTGTTGTGGTTGCTGTTGTTGTTGAGGGAAATCCTTTTCTTGTTGCTGCCTTTCTAATAATTGTTGCTTTTCCAAAAGCATTCTCTTCTTTTTAATTATATATTTACTATCACCAGTTTTGATGGCATTAATATCAACACTATGTTTACTAATTGTATGGTTCGATAAGGAGCTTAAGGACATTGGGGTCGAGGGTATGTGAGATAAGGATTGAGACGAAGACAGTTTCTTTAATCCAGACTTTTTTAAAGCAGAAGACCCACCAGCTAATGCAGCCAACATACTCGAAGATCTTTCTGGTGAACTTGGACCAGGTGAAGAACGAACTTCTTGATATAAATTTGAAGGTGCATTTGGTGAATTGAATACAGCAATATCGGTTTGTAAATTCGGACAGGTTAATTTCGAAATTACCATGGGATCAGCAATTGTACGCACAACTTGATCAAAAACACCAATATCATGGTTGAACAGATAATTACCGGGTGCTGCTGCATTTTGCGTTTGGTTTTTAAATAATTCATCATTTTTATCAATTAATCCTTCTCCTAGCTTATATTGGGGTGGTTTGATATTCGAGAGCGCATCCACTAATGAGCTTGTGGCGATCTTCCTTCTCTTTGTAATCGTCTCCTCCTCTTCTTCCTCTGTTCGCTTCTTATTTTTGTTGACGTCTACTAATAATGATAATGGTTGTTGCTGTGTACCGTCCTCGTTGTCCGTAGTCAAGCTTGAATCTTCGAATGGAATGATGTGCGTAAATGGATTTTCGATTGGCTTTTTTCGATTTTTGACAAGAACAGGTAGTTGTTGCTGTTGTTGTTGCTGTTGTTGAAGTTCTTCTTGTTCTTTCTTTTGTTGCAATAACTGTTGTTGCTTTTGAAACGATATTTCTTCAACAATTTCATCTTGTTTTATTTCTGGGAAAGGTGGGAGATACGATGGAATATAATCTGGTAAATCGTTTGCATCTTGTTCTATGGGCGAATCAACAAAAGTAGGCGAAGGTATGTCATAATCTACGATTGGTGTACCGTATCTATACTCTACTACATCGTCAAACGCAGGTTTGCCACCATTAATAACGCCTAATAAAAGAGAGAAGAAAGGAATGACTGAGCATACAAGCAAACAGAAGTAAAGTCTTCATTCATTTTGATTTTACCTTGAATTAATCGACCGGGATCAGACTGATCTGACCAACATGGTGTTAAAAATTTTCCCTCTTCTTCTAACCAAACTTTTAACTTTTTGGGTTGTATATCTACTTCGCTCATTGCTTCCATCAAGTCAAACGAATTGCCTATTGTTCTTCCATTCAAATTAGCGTAAGCAGAAACAGTAGAGCCTAAAAGCTCGATGTATTTTCCAAATACATCGGTAAGCGTATCAATAGAACTATTGTTGGCGGCCTCAAAACCAGCACTCTGAATAATTTGTTGTGTCGCTGTCTTAAGTATTGAATAACAAACGTTATCCGTCATTATTAAGTTTTTGTTACGAAGAACAAAAAAAAAAAAAAAAAAAAAAAAAAAAAAATTGAAAGAAAAAAATATACGCGATGGTGTCTCGGATTTTCATTTGATGCACTGCGGGCGCCTCTTAAATTAATGACGTCGACAAATCTTCCTTTTGGATTATATTGAAGCCATTATTCGTGGTGATATAGTCAGGTCTTCTTAGATTTGTTTGCTCGTAACAACCGTGCCATTAATACTTATGCTCTTAGATTAGGACCAACGAACTACGATTTCCAAGCAACTGAAACAAAAAGGTTTTGCCAAGTATTTCCAAAGTACCGGGAATTTACTGTATGTAAAGAGAAACATCAATAACTGTATGAAAAAATAATACCTCCCGGAAACAAGCATAGAAGTATTATTTGTCTCATGTAAAAGCGACTACAGGGAGCCGAAGCTGCAATGCATTTTAAACCACCTGTCAGTTCCTGATAATTAAGCTGCCCATTTTTGATGTTTTCATACCACGTGTTGGAATGACATGACAGACCTTTGCTCGTCTATTTACATGGTATGAGATGTTCAATATAATTTAGAAAGTTGATATTTACTTCATATACCACTTTGCGTTCTATTTCTGTGAATACTAAGTAGATATTTGCGTTTTTATTATTATTGCTACAAACAAAAGAAGAGGCGACTTCTTTGTTTTCGAAAACAAAGAGGTATTACTCGGAATTGACCGGTAAAGGGGACATGTTTTATCGATACGAAATCCATTACCTTTTGGAAGGATAATAACGTGCATTGTAAGTTTGGGGAAAGTGACTGTCCCGACGGCCTGACGTAAGTATATACGTTTCAACCTTTTTTTTTTTTTTTTTTTTTTTTTTTTTCTATTACTTTCTTTATATTTTATCTATATTCCAACATGTCCAGTGAACAAGATATTTTGAAATTTTGTGACATTACAGGTGCCTCACCCGAAGTAGCTGAAAACTTCCTACAAGTAAATATAAACAAATTATTTGCATGCGTGTATTTTCTTTTTTTACTCAAAAAAATTCCCTAAAGGTAGCAGACAATAATGTTGAAATGGCGGTATCACTATTCCTGGAGAACGGAGGAGATATGGTTGCCAATCAAAGCCGAAATAACCCACCCAGTGTAAACTCTTCTAGACCATCTTCCATCAACTCGGAGCACATGTTGACAGACGAGGAATTCGCAAGACAAATGCAGGAAAGTGAACAAGTTAGAGCTCCCATTGCGCCAAAAAATGATATTCTTGCAGGAGGTTTGTTCCAACCCCCTTCTCGATGGACAAGTGACCATGGTAATGTTTCTTTCTGATCTTACTTTAATGTTTGCCTAATCCTGTGTCACAATAGTTGGATCTAGTAGACCCTCTGTATTCAATCAAGGCGATTCGGCCACAGGATCTGTTTCAGACTTTTTGAGTAGATTAAATTACGAAGGTAATTGTAAGTGTTTTATTAGACCTTACAGCAAAATAAAAGGTATTAATGACGCATGGGATTATCAGCCGGTAGTGGATCATCATCTCCTATTGAGTCTTTAGGTAGCCCTGCAACTGCAAAAGCAAAAAGATTAGCTGATCTCTTTAGACCACCATTCGACATCATGTACCGCGGAAACTTTGAAGAAGCTAGAGATACCGCTAAAGAAAAGAACAAGTGGTTGATGATCAATGTTCAAAATCCCACAGAATTTGCTTGTCAAGTAATGAACAGGGATTTATGGAGTGACGGAATTGTTAAGGATATTGTTAAAGAATCATTTATCTTCTTACAGGTAAAAGTTAAATTGTGACTTACCGCCGTCCATCCCCAACTAATCAGTCATGACTTAGTATACAAATGAGAGTGCTGATGGTAAAAGATATAGTACCTTTTATTCTGTCAGTGGATATCCTCACCTCGCTATCATTGACGCCCGTACTGGTGAGCGTGTAAAGGTTTGGGAAAAGCAGATTGGACCCACTGATTTTATGATGGAGATCACCGAATTTTTAGAGCAAAACTCTCCTGAATCATCCACGAGATCAACAGCTACAATGAAAAGACCCAGAGTTACAAAGGTAAAGAATGATTAAGGAAAGTATGAATTAGTTTTTGAAAAAGGAAAAAAATCATTAGAATTTCTCTGATATGAGTGAGGAGGAACAATTAAATGCTGCCATTGCAGCGTCCTTGACAGGACCTAAATCAGAATCACCAGAAAGCTCAAAAATGGAACTTGAAAGCACTCCAAAATTGGATGAAGAAGAACCAAAAGAAAAGGAGATAGTACAAGTTGAAGTGGAAGAAATTAAGGCTGGATCTACTTTGGATGGCATCAAAGCTATCAAAAGAGACGAGACAACTGATATGGCCAATTCAACTCGTATTCAATTAAGATTAGCTGATGGAAGTAGAATGATCAGAAGGTTTTTAAAGTCGGACCCTGTTCGATATATATTTGAATTTGTCAAAGCTGAAGTACCGAATGCTGATACCCAACCTTTTGAGGTAAATCCCCATTTTTCTTCTTACCAAATTATTACTCAATTTTTTTTTTTTTTTTTTTTTTTTTTTTTTTTTTTTAGCTGGTATTTAATCGTGCTCAACTTATCGATCTTCTGGATCAGTCAATTTTAGAAGCTGGTCTTGTTAATGCTGCAGTTAATTGTGTATTCGTTTAATCAATAATTTGAAAAAAAAAAAAAAGAAAAAAAAAAAGTTTGGTCATTACAGTATAAGCGCTTTAAGGTTTTTTTTTTTTTTTTTTTTCAGATAAACTATAAAATGTTTTCAGACAAATGCAAACATATTCCGGACAGCAGTAAACAGATATTCACACAAACGTAAAAATATTTTCAGAGAAGCGTAAAAAGTTCTTTAGACAAAAATTTATGATGTTTATGAGATACAGGAAAGAGTTACTTTCGAGACTTAAGAAAATAATCGTTCGGACTTTTTCTTATGGTGAATTCTTCGAGAGCACTTCCATTTCCACCTTTACCAGTAAGCTATATCGTATTCGTTCATATAAACTTGTCATTTACACCTGTACCAACATAATACTTCAATCGCATGTCAATTATATATGTACTACAGTGCAATTTTAGCACACCTCTCACTTTTTTTTAAGTCTTATACCAAGTACTCTTTTTCAACTTCATTGTACTATAATCAAAATTATGTAGCATTAGACAATTAATTGTTGCTAACGTTTTATGGGAACAACCTGTTTTATACTCAATATCAGTTAGTTAAGCATAGATTGATACTGAGTCTTCAATGCTGTTAGTTTATCAATTGCCTTTATTGGAGTTCAATGTGCGTTTGTGCCATACTTTGTTATCCATAATTTATGCTAACTTCTTTTTGGATATTTTGTGTCTAAAAATCAGTTTTGAAGTGGAAAAACTGTAAATACAATAACATACCTACAACCTTAGTGTCCGCCACATCCCTGTGTTAAAATCTACTTGCCGTATATATTGAGGCTTTGATTCGCTTCCCAAATATCAAATGTTATGCCTGATAGATGTAACTAACAGAAATTTGATTGAACTTGGACACATATTAAAGAAACCAACCACACATCCATATTGCTTGATTTCCATAAAAAGAAGGGGCCAGACTGCTACATATTTACTTTTTTAATGACACACCCTCGTTTTCCTGGTGCACAAAGTGTTTGCGTTGCACTATTGTTTGAAATTAATTGTATGCACACAAACTTCCATCTACGGTTTCCAAAGCTGTGCAAACCATCTGATTTAGTTTCTCAAGTATTGAGTACAACGCTACATCTTTTGCTCAAGTGTCAGCAATTTCGCTCGACTCTGCTGAATGCACAGCTGTTTTACAAGGACTTTTTAGAGGAGTTGGGTTTGAATGCTGCCGATGACTGGTCTGCCAAGCCCTAGAAATAACAATACGGCTATAAATATTCTTGGAAAGTATTTGTGAAAAATGCCAATATTCTTGGTAGTTCCAGCAATGACGATGCTAATATATCATGTGCACTTGTTACCCCTATTACAGCACGTATGTACAAGAGAACGGTGTCATTGTCAGCAAAGTATCGTAACCTGTGAAACATCATATGAAAAGGTTCTAGGAGTACGAAATCTATATTTGGAAATAGACTACCTTTCAGCCCCACCAAAATACTAGTTTCGTACCAAATGTGTCACAAAATTTTGCAATAAAGATTATCATTTTATTTTTTACCTTGTTTCTTTTTGTCTTTCTTTCAACTAATCTTTTTTTATTTATATATTGCCAAACACTATGGAAAGTTCAACAAACCAGGTAGCCATCTATAAAGGTCTCAGTGTACTTGCCATATTCGGCTTAATACTGAGCTTGATCGGTGACTTTCTCTTATCATTATGTATGTTTGAACTCTTTTCTAAAGTCTGATGATTTAACATTTTTTTTATTGTTAGACTGGGCTTCAATTGTCAGTGCAATCTTCAAAATGTAAGAATTTCTTTTTAATTCACAGAGACTTTATTAACAATCATATTGCATAACAGTTTCCTTGTTGCTTCTCTCTTTCTTCTCGAGTTCAGGCAATCACCTGCTTCGGTAAAACCATTCTCGTTCATGTTTTACTTCCTGGGTCGTGGTGTATGTAAGTATTTTATTTTCTTCAAAGAGCCGCACAAACTGACACAATCGTTTTTGTTTGTACCTAATAGTTTACATAATGTAAGTCTGTCATGTAATTTTCTGTGTGCACAAATAATTAGCTTATAATTTTGATTAGCCTTGGATTTATTACAATGGGAGGTAATAGTGTTTCGTGGGCTGGCGGTGCTATCGTAAGTAGTGTTTTCCATCTTTACGTCTGTATCTAATATATAAAATGGGGGAATAGATCATCGTGGTCGGTGCGGTGTTTGTTGGTCTCCACTTTGCAAATAATGGACAAGAGCCTGAATACATGTCGTTTAAGAGATTTCAACGTCTCACCAGCGGTCTCTCTCATGAATTGCCTATCACTCAGCAATACCCTGTAGCACATCAAGTCCCTCTTTCTCAACATAACGCTCATAACAATGGATCTTTCCCACCAACTGCTGGCCAATACAGTAATACCCAAACCAACACACACGTTCCACCTCCTACTTCACCCTTACCCGTACACATCAGTAACGAAGAAAAGACGGAAATCTAAAAATATTAAGGATACAATGACATGATACTTGTTTGTAGTCCAGCCACATTTTCCTATAATTTATCTAATTACTACGCCACCCCTCTTACAGTATTTACACTATAAATTCAGACAAATTAGAATTAATTTCGGACAGATGCAAAAATAAATTCAGACCAATAAAAAAAAAGTTCAGACTATTGAGCTTTTTTTTTCGGACGAATAGAAAATTATTGTTCAGATAATTTTACCTGCATGAAATTACCAAAGCGATAACTTTGGCGGAAAATTACTGAGTTTGTTCGTTTTTACGAGAAAAGAACGCAGGGCGCTCACCTACTTCCCTGAGATTGAATAGGATGTGCTTAAAGTTTAGAACAGCTGCTTGGTCTCTATTCCAAAATTTTCTGCCTTGAGTAACACATGCAGTATTTTGACATCTGATAATTTGTTAATATCAACATAACGAATATAATTGTAACTATACTACCTTAACAATCCATGACACTTCACGATTGGCATTGTATTTCTTCTAAATGGACGAGGATTATAAATCATCTTAAATTGCTCCAAAACGTCACCACAATCTGGACAATGAGAGGAAGTTTTAAATTCGTCAATTAGATAAACAGTCAAACCATTTTTTTTTTAGCATTTGAATAAGCCCTTTATTCCTTGTAGGTTCCTGGAAATTTGTGTTCGGGGCTGACCAATTTCCAAGTAACAAGACAGCATCAGGACCAAATTTTCTTTTCAAGTTTTGTACCAATTTTTGATCATTTTGTTCATAAAACATCTTTGATGAAAATTTCATTTTTCGAAAAGGTAATAGCTGTAACTTCTCTAAGACTGTACTGAGAGTTTTTCTGTTAAGATCACTTTGGTTGGGTCGTCTATTAATCTCTAAACCAAGCGCAATAATTCTTCTTTTTTCATCATCATCAAATCTTTGTGATATATGCTTTTATGACAGCATCATTTCTAGATATACGGCATAAAATTGAGGATTGACAATCCTATCATTGGAAAAGTTCTGAGGTTGAGGGATAAAACCGCAAATTCGTGATATAAATATATTGCCATAGTACAGATTGCATTTATGATCAACTCGGAATGAAAACTCTGACTCTGGAAAATAGGAGATTTCTTTGGGCTTTAAAGTCTCGTTTCCATAGTAGTCGGTTAACGTGTCATTAACGGATGATCTGGCTTTTATGTACTGAATGTAGTTTTCCAAATTTGTAGATTTGGATTCTGTTTTGGAGAGCGTTGTTTCGGCTTCTTGGACAACCAAAGGTTTGTTTTGATTCCGTAAATATCTGAAATGTCTTGAGCATTTTGAGCGATTATTTTTGGTAAAAATCAAAGTTTGCTTCTCTTTAACTGTACTAGTTTCTTTCATGCAATACAATAACGTCTTCCAGGGTCGATCAGAACACACTTGTTTTCAGTACGTTTTAAATCAGCTTGATTTAGCCCTTCTATATACTGCTCTTGATCATCGACTACTCTCAACGCTGGTTGTAAAGAATTTTCTACTTGTATCTGTGTTTTGTTTAATGATTGATACACCGACACCATCTGTTTCAAGTGTTCCTTGAAACCTTAAAGTCTTATCAACACCTTGATTCTTGAACGCCTTCTTTTCAAAATTCACGACAGAACCCCAAATTTTAAATTTTTTTCCAGCTTGGAGAGGACTTTTATTCTTGAGAATATGAAAGTGAATTATTTTGGCATCCAAAGTCATGTAGCATGGAATGAAGGAAGTGCGCAACGGGAAGCAGATAAATGCTTTTCCTGTTCTGGCTTCAACTAATTTGGCAAGTTAAAAAAACGCATCAAAATTATTCTCAGGTTTTGCTGCAATATCATAGTATATGGAGTCCTTTTGGAAAGTGTAGTCTTTAGGATAGCAGGAAAAGATACTGTTTAATTCTTTTCTTGACTGGTCATCTAGAATACTGACTGCAGGTATCTCTTTCCTTGCTAAGGCACGACTGATCTGATTACAAGGTCCGTATATCTTGCTTCGGATAGCTGATTTTATTGCTTTTTCATCTGATCCATTTTCTTTCATTTCTTTCCGAAGATTATTTGCTCTTTCCTTCTTTTGTAATATAATATTAACAAATTGGCGCAGTCTATTTCCAAAATGAGCTTTAATATTGTTATGGTAAGCCGTTTGGATTTTGGTACACTCATACAATGCTATTTGCTGAGCATTTGGTAAGCTGGGAGGAGTATAATTAGCATCTTGAAAGTAAGCCTCTTTGTATTTTGCTATCAATTGCCTATTTTTTTTTTGTTACAGGCTTTAATCTTGTGTTTCGAGTTTTTGAAAGTGTAAGACTTAAAAAAACTTCTACAAAAAAAGCTTTTTCAACAAAGTCTTTTAAAGTAAAAGTTTCGCTTGCTGCCAACTCTTGCAAATAGATGTACTTTGTGAAGGCAAAGGTGTGTGTAATCAATGAATTAATAGTGTTAACCAAATCATACAATGGCTGTAAATACAACGGATTCCAAATGTTCTTCGCAGTTGTTTTAACTGTAATAACGCGCTTGCTTAATTTTTTAGAATCTCTCGCAGTGACACTGGTACTTGATTCTGATGCTGTTATGAATACTTCAGGCGTAGGACTTCGCTTACTTGCAACAGGGCGTCGCTTACTTACTGAAGAACTTGACTCGGCAACAGTAAATTCGGATCCGTACTTGAAACCACCACGACTTCGTAATGTATGTATTGCAGGCGGGGACTCATTAAAGTCGTCACTGCTATAATCTATCAAATTGTCGCTGACAACATTTCTAATAGAATCAGGAATACCAATGATACTTGTAATATCAGGTTCATGTTCGGCTGCCCTGCCTTTCCCTTTAAACTTTTTTTGGAAATCAATATATGGGGTATTTTCCCGACCTATAAGAAAGGGTAATTAAACATCATGTAAGTTTTCTATCAAAATAAGACTTGGCAATGTAACATACTTCGTCTCTTCCGTCCCAAAATCGGTGGTTGAAAGCCATCGTCCGAGCTATCATTTTGAGTTTCTTTTTTATAATAGAATCAGTTTTTTGGTTGCATTTCCATCAAATATCATACATATACGTTACCTTTCATAGCTTAAACTGAATAAAAAAATGAAGAGAGAAAAAAAGATTAAAAAAAAAGTATCTATCACAATTTTTACACTTAAAATCCAGATGTTTTAGCTTACCTTTTTTGAAAAAAAAAAAAAAAAAAAAAAAAAAAAAAAAAAAAAAAAATTCAGACTAATTGATTACATGTAAAAAACCCCTGCGGATTTATGCTATGAGCTTATTTTATGTTAACAGAAGAAAGGCGTTTTACTTAAATTTTTTTTGGCTTTGTGGCAGGTACTCTAATCTCAATATTCACAACGCCGATTACAGATATTTTCAATTAAGATCGTTGAATTATAGCCCTGGAGGTTGGTGTTTCAACTACTATTGTATTTCCGTTAGTCGATCTATCTATTGGTGGTCTCATAATGATATCAACTACAAATATACAACTACTCAGTAGTCCACATCGGTCTAAGACTATTTTTCGAGCCATTGTTCTCTTGGATTTCTACGTCAATTTCCCCGATATCTCTGGAAGTGAATTCATCACGTATTAATGATTAACGTGCCTGCCATTAATCCAGTGAAGTCAGCATTACTGTCTTTTGGGGCTCTCTATCTCATTAATAAAATCCATTGCTTCAAATCCATCCTCTTGATAAACACCTTCTTGTTCATTTTCTTTAAATAGTGTTAAGCTCGAAGTAGTTTTAAGAATAGCAAAGAAATATAATTTTATTGTTTGCAATTACACTGTACATCATATGTCAAGCTCAATCATTTTTTCGGTGGTCATGAGGAGGGCAAAGCATAATTTGACTATCATTGGAGATACTCAAACCTTGCTTAGTGAAGGATAAATCGAAAGTAAAGGTTATAAACCTTTGCTCGTGTCGCCCTTTTCATCATTTCTTAATCCTATTGAGGAGTGCTGGTTCAAGATCAAGAAGCACATCAAAAGAAATCTGCTTTCAACTTTGGACACTTTAACCCCAAGAATCAAGGTAGCCTGTGAGACTATTACCACGGAAGATTGTAATGGTTGGATACGACACTCTGAAACGTACTGGGATAAATGCCTCAACAAAGAATCAAAACTAGTTTAAACTTTTACTTGCCTGAATTTTTGTTATCATTTTTCTGAAAATAATTTCTCTTTGTCTGAATAATTTTTTACGTTTGTCTGAAAATATTTTTTTTTAGTCTGAATTTTTTTTTGAGCTTGTCTGAAAATAATTTTCATTTGTCTGAATTTAAAGTGATAATACTGTATATAATATTTTCTTCCCTTCAGTCGAAATAAAAAACTGATTCATATAGGTCATATTTAGTACACATGCAGCCTTATAACTACATAAGCAAACATATATAAAAGTCGAACTTGAGACAATAAAAACTATTTTTCAGGGAATGAAGTTGCTGCACACTAGTCTAGTAGCAGGTTTAGTGATAATTTAAACTTATAAACAAAATACGCAAAAATTTAGGCTAATCCTGTGGTATTTGATAAACAGCAATTAACAAAGTAGAAAAAATACTTTGCTTAGCAAAAGCTGTTTTTTTTTCAACTATGCGCTGATAATAATTATTGTCATGATAAAACCGCTCCAAAAACAATAACCATTGCTACTCTACCTTTTTCCTACTATTGGTTTTTTCGGCGTTATTTTCTAGCTGCTTTCTCATCCTTTTCTTATAAAAGGCCCTCAAAAAATTAATAAAATCATTATTTTTTCTTTACCTAAATCTGAATAATCCTTAATACTTTTATTATAATCGCTCGTAATTTACCTCTGTAAATCAGCATTGTTAACTATTCCAATTTGTATTTAACTATACCTCTTCGAATACCACTCTTATCTGATTTCGTCGTATAAATTGCCTCCTTAAATAAATATATTTTATCTTTTTCAGTTGACAACTATATAGTCTGGTGCTCATTTTTTAAGAGCTTTTATCTTAAACTCTATTTTTATTTTCTTCTATTACTTTTACTGAAACTTGCCAGTAACAATAGAGACTCATTTCTTATTATTTCTTTTCATTCTATTCTTTATCTATTCTATACCTCAAACATCACAATATGCAAAACCAAAAACCAAAAAATACAAAATATAATTATAATCACGATGCTCTCTCACTGTATCTTTCTTCACATGCTTAATCCAACTGTTCCACTTCTGAATGGACAGTGGCATCAACCCGAAGGATCAGAACAAGTGTTACGAT